ACCCCAAGGCGTCACCTTTGACCATGCTTCAATATTTGACGTTTTAGGCGCCCTTTAGCGTCACTTACATGACGCGATCCTACGGCGTCATCTAACTGACGCTAAAGGAAAGCGTCAGTTAGAGGACGCGGTTAGGTTTAGGTAGCCTATGGGGTGGGGGTAGGGTACACGCGATCCTAGGGCGTCATCTAACTGACGCAAAAGGGCGCCTAAAGCGTCAAATATTGAAGCATGGTCAAATGCTTCCCAAGGCGTCAGTTAGGTGATGCTTTGGGAGTGAGAATGGGCTGTCAAAACATAATAGTTAATAATTTCTGAACATTGTCTTTATTCACCCTTTTCTCGTGGTTTCTGAATATAATTCATCATGGAATCAATTCAACTTTATTCAACTTTATTCGCCAAGTATAAAAAATACAAGGAATTTGATTTGGTTTTCTCCATGCAGGCAACAGTGAATACAAAAGACAGCAAAAGATAAGGACAAAAACCACAGTGCAAGGACAAACAGAGACACTATAGCATAGTTCGAATAGGGGCATATTGTAACGCAGGGTTACAACATGCCCCACCTGCGCAACTGGGATTTAAAGTGTCTTCTGCTGCTTAGATTAGCATTAAATATCTAAACTGTTAAAAAAAAAAGTACAGTATATGATTCAAATACTATCAGGTTTGTCTAATTTTAAATAAACAGAAAACAGAGATGAAAAATGAACTTGCCATTGTTAAATAAATGTTATTTTTTGAAGATTTGTTTTAATTTTAACACATTTTTTCTCTATAGAGTTGATTTGGCAACTAGTAAACTAGGTTTTGTCATGCTAGCATGTGTGGAAAGTTTTAAACCATGTATGTTAGCCCTGCGTGAGTTTGTACCCCGCTCACCCCTAAGAAACGTGAATACTGAGTTTCCATCAACTGATAAGCAGATTTGTAAAGTTTCAAGAAGTTAGTTTCTGTTCCTCAGTGTCTTTTGTGTTACTGTTTCGCATGTATGGTATCATTTTCTTTTGACAGGGTCACTGACACTCAATGCAGCAGTGATTCCTGACATTCCCAAGATGATTTGGTAGTTTGATATTACATATAATTGCTGATTTTGTTTGTCTCTAACAGGGAGTGTTTCTCCACAGGTGCACATGGATTAAGTTGAAAGAATCTTTTCTTTAAGAAAGAACATAACAGACAAGGCTTCCATCTATTCCCAGTCAGACTCTGCACTGGCTGATCTTAATATATGTTAGTGCCATTTTTTTTTGTCTCAAGATAAACACTAATGTTTTTTTGTTTTTTGTTTTTCTAAGGCACGTTTATTAAAATCTCAATGTCCATTTGAACTAAGGCCCGATCCTGGTTTACTTTAAGCCCTGTCTATGAAACCTGGGACTGGTTGCATAAGCTGCTAAGAATAGCCTTACAAGCCAGTCATCAAATGTTTTTCTTTAAAGGGATAGTTCACTTTGAAATTAATTTTTGATATGTTTTAGCTTACCTCAAGGGCATCCAAGATGTAGGTGTCTTTGTTTCCACAGTATTATAAATATTGACATGTTTCGGTCAAACCATTCGTGTCTGTCAGTCATATAATGGAGGTCTATGGTCACCACCTCAAAGAGCATGCACAGAGAAGTCCAAATTAAACATGATTTAATGACTCGTAAATGTAAGTACACATTGATGGCCTAAGACACGAAACGAGCGGTTTGTCTGAGAAAACGAACAGTATTTATATCGTTTTTACCTCGTGTAGCCACAGCCATGTCCAACTGATCTAATTCAGTTGTCCAATGTCCAGCTGAACCTAACTGAACCACATCACTCATTTTACTAAAAATATTTAGATATGAAGAGTTCAGATGCAAAAGCCTCTAAATGCCATTTGAAATGTTCTTCTTTAATGATGATTTTTGTCAAACTTGTATATTTAGGTTCAGTAATTTCACTTAAATAACAATTAATAGGTAATTATCATTGCCATTTAAGTGAAATCACTGAACTTAAATATACAAGCTTGATAAAAATGGTCATTCTAGAAGAAAATTTCAAATGGCACTTAGAGGCTTTTGCTTCTGGACTCTTCATATATCTAAATCGTCTTCCATTGCGATTTCTTGTATATCTAAATATGTTTAGATCTTCACAGTGAAAGGTAAAACTTCCGAAATCTCTGTTTAAACAAAGAGTGACGTACACGCGCGAGATATCACTTCCGGCAGAACATTGGACATGGTTCAGTTCAGTTCAGTTGGACATTGGACAACTGATTCAGATCACTTGGACATGGCTGTGGTTACACGAGGTAAAAACGATATAAATACTGTTCATTTTCTCACACAAACCACTCATTTTGTGTCTTAGGCCATCAATGTGTACTTACATTTACGAGTCATTAAATCATGTTTAATTTGGACTTCTCTGTGCATGCTTTTTGAGGTGGACCCCCTAAACCTCCATTATATGACTGACAGACAAGAACGGTTTGACCTAAAAATATCAAAATTGAAAATACTGTGGAAACAAAGACACCTACATCTTGGATGCCCTTGAGGTAAACTAAAATATATCAAATATTAATTTCAAAGTGAACTATCCCTTTAAGACTGTTCATAACTTTTTGAAATCAGTTACTTAAAAACATAGATTGGTCTAATTTGATAACAAAAAGTAAGCCTGCTTGCCCCCTGGCAAACTGCTATTTATAGATCTTAAGACGGTCTTAATATAATGGCTAATTGTTTATGATAAGGGGTGGTGATGGCGCAGTGGATAAGACACATGCCTTTGGTGTGAGAGACCCAGGTTTGAATCCACTGTGAGACACGAATGTGTCCCTGAGCAAGACACTTAACCCCTAGTTGCTCCAGAGGCGTGTGCGACCTCTGACATATATAGCAATTGTAAGTCGCTTTGGATAAAAGCGTCAGCTAAATGAATAAAAAATATAAATGTACATGTAAAATGATTATTCATTGGTCCTTAACCTAAGATTCCATCACGGAGATAGTTTGAATAAAATTGTTTCTTGCTTGTTTAATAGCTTCACTGATATTTTCACACTAGTTTGTTACACTGCTGTCAATCATTTATGTAGTCCATGCTTGATTGACATTATTTCACCAAGTACAACTGTTAAACCTGGGACAACATTCAAAACAACCAAAGCAATGTTCTCAGTTGTAATTTTGTTCAAGAGAATGTAGTTGAAACAACTGTGCCAGACATTTCAACGAAGACATCAACACTTCTCCTTCACTGGGTTCTAAAGGCCTTAGTGGTCAACTGTTGTATAAGTCTATTGAAGTGCAAGTTGAAGTGGGTTGCACCTGAAAGCAGGTTTGACAATCTAAACTGGTCTAGTCTGGTAATTGTACATGCACCTGCCTCATTGGAATACATCCAGATGGCATTGTGTCTAAGTGTCAAATTAAAATGAAACTATGCACATTTATACAGTACTGATGCAAATCGGGGTTCAGTTGTTTTATTAGCTACTGTAGGATTGACATGTTAAGAATATTTGTGTTGTAGAAGTAGATGACCTCAAAAGCCCTGAAATGAAATAGATTATTAATGTTTCAAACCGAAGGGTCTAGGGAAACATTCACAATTCTTTCGGCAATGTCCGAAACGGTATGTTTATTTTATTGGTAAAACTTTACAACAAGGTTCCATTGGTGAACTAAAAAAGGAAAATGCTTAATGGTTCTGGTGTAAATTGAACTAACAATGAACATCAACATTAAGAAAAAAATAATAAATTCTGTTATAAATGTATTGCTCATTGTTAGTAAATGTTATACTGTAAAAATGTTTCCATGGTTGGGTCAAATATCTAGATTAATTTAAACAAATGGTTCCGTTTGTCCATATTGAACCCAAACATGGGTTAAAATAACCCAGCAATTTAATACATCAAAAAACTGAACTGATGTGGCCTTAGTGTAAAGTGTTGCAATTTCATAAAAGGACACTGCACATTTATTGACATTAGCACTGTATCCATCATGTAAATAACAGAAGTGTCAACAGTTTAACAATAGACATAATTACAGAAATTACAGCTGTAATTGAGCAATTACAGTGTAAAAAGCACGAGTGCATTTTATTCATTTGAACATTAGTACATGTAGCTAAAGGCGCTGATTAAATGGGGTCTCGTCTAAAAATATATTCTGTATATAATTGATGAATCAGTTCAAATTGAAAGAAGACTTGCTCGTTTTTTTGATAGCAAAAGAATGTAATACGTCTTGTTTTGCCATTTTCGAGAAGTAGCCTAGTTGTTGGTCTTGTTTTGGATTTGCTGACGTCGGTAAACAGGCCCACACCCTTCTTATACCTTAGTTAATATATGGACCTGCAGGGCTGCTGACTGGCACACACATACACAGATTCTCCTGTTAAAGGTAAGTGCTTTTCCTTGTCACATTCCTGTGTTAAAAAAATACATTATATTTGATATATATGTATGTATATATATATATATATATATATATATATTTAAATGAATTTGTAATTATTATTAATAATTAAAATTATAATTTATATTATATATAGGCCTATTTAGAATAAAGAAGATAATTATTCATCACATGCAAGTTCAGTTTGTTTGAAATAATGCCATTGTTGCATTCTATTTGTTTAAGATCAGGGGTGTCGGTGTGAAAATGGCAAACTTTCAGCTTTCTGTGCTGTTTGCTTTAGGTAAGAGGAGCTGATCTCTTTACTGATCTAATTAATCACCCAGTGCAAATTATTATAATTATATATATACATTTCTCTAAAGAGACACTGTTCACAAGTTACACTTTCTCTTTTAATAGGATTTTTCACACTGATAAACGGAGAGGTATTAAGCACTTTCTGCACAACTTTATTTTGTGGATGCTGCTTGTTTAGAATATATATATTTTTTTTTAATCGTTTGATTCAATATGATGTGGGCAATATTAGGTTTCCATGTAATGTGAATCAGTCATCACTTGTTTCCCCATTCCTCTTTCAGTTCTCAAATTTGACGCTCAACAACATCCTCACCTGTTCAGGGATAGGCCCACTTTCGGCCATATCACAGGGGAATCTCAAAAATCTCAAAGCATTTGCTGACTCATCCTTTGATTTGTACACATTGCTGGTACAGTAATTCTAAATATCAACATATTTCATTTACTGCTTATTAAAATGAAGTCACCAATCCAGTGCCTTTTTAATTTTCCAAACAGAGATCTAGACTTGACGTTAGTCGTGTGGTGAGCTCCATCAATAATGCCAGGTCCAGTATGACAACAGTGGGATCACTGAGTGATGTGGAGTTTGCTAGGCTCTGGTTCCAAGTGAAGCTCAGTCCATATCTGTCATCTCTGTCCAGAGAGACTCTCTCCTGCCTGAGTCAAAGCAACCTCACCTGCCAGAGCTTCCAAGCACTGTGTGTAAATCCCATAAATCATGCTAATATTCTGAAATAGTCTAGCTGTTTGTTGTTCAATCGACTTAATTTACATTGTACAGGGTACAGGATCTAAGCTTGCAAATCGGTCCTGAAAGACAAAGGATGGTGTATCAGAATTTCATACAACCTTTTCTGGCAAGAAATACATCTGACGGTACTGTATTTTGTGCAATAATATGTTTTAAATGTCAGCTCACGTAGACTACAGCTTTAACTGTCTATGAGTAGCTGACTTTGAGTTTGTTTTAAAGCTGGATGTGTGAAAAGTGCAAACAGCACCAGTGAATGGTTTATGCAGAACTTGCAAACATTCTCTGCCATCGCAAGTCTGAGAGATGTCACAGCTCTGAATAAGGACTTTAATGGGGTAAGTAGATCAAACCAAGCAGTTGAATCCTATAGCATTAAGCCTGTCCACTCCAAGGAAGATAATTATAACGGTTTTTAAAATAGTTTTAAATTCAAAAGGATAGTGCAATCCACACCACCGCAACTATAACAGCATAGTGGTAGAATATATTATTTAAAATCACTTTCACAAAAAACAAAAACAAAAAAAAATCCTCCCTGGATAATCAAGCTCGCGCATTTTACAGTTCCCCCCTGTAGTCAGCAACTTGAAGAAGTTTAGTCCGAAATAGAAGAAGAGAGAATTATACGGAGTCGTCTACTCTACACAAGTCGGTGTATCAGAATGATAGGCCTAATAGGTTTTTATGTATCTCTCTCTTCAGCGTCAGACCAGTTACAACAGATTTTTTGTGACATAGAGAACATTGACGACTTCAAACCGCATTTTTGAGACTCTTTGGTTCACTGCGGTTTAAAGGAGAAAATACTTAGCAATGGTGTTGACTTATGCATTTGAACATGATTTGTCTTAAAGCATATTAAAAACACCACATAGACATATAGACAACATTAAAAACGTGATTTTCACCTCGAATCGATTTCTAAGAGGCAGACAACATTTAAGCCTTGTTTATAGAGTGCCGTAGTTACCACGTCACTCTGTAGGCCAAAACGCGGAAGCGAGTTAGCATTTTAGCACTACCGGTTCAGCCCGGTCTCATCCCAAGACGTCATATAACTGACGTTTTGGGACGTCTTTTGACCATACGTCAATATTCGCCTTTTTAGGGCCCCCTTAAACGTCGGTAGATGAGGTTATGGGATCCTAACTCTACCCCAGAACTAAACCTAACCCTAAACCTAACCCGTCACCTAACTGACGTTAAAGGTAAAGCGTCAGTTGTATGACGGCCCGGGATCGCCATCTACCGACGTTTAAGGGGGCCCTAAAAAGGCGGATATTGACGTATGGTCAAAATACGTCCCAAAACGTCAGTTATATGACTTTTTGGGATGAGACTGTGTTAACCGGTTCCCTCGCTCTAAAGTCTATGGGATTTTTCAATGGGTTTTTGCTAAATCGCCTGAAATAAGGTCTGTGGTGAACAAAGCCTCCAAATATTTTCACGTTTTGATCAATGACACAGAACACACAGTTATAACCTGCTTGTGGTTTTATAAACTTTATTGTGTCTGATTGTGTTTTTTTTTTTTAAATCTTTATATAGGCTTCAAAATGTATAAATTTTGGATTAACTTGTAAAGATTACCCAGACAGCAAACTGACATTGAATCAACGTGGAAACGACGTCTCTCATGACATTGAAACAACGTTGATTTTGCTCATCGAATTAACGTTGAACCAACATCAGACGCGGCATTCTTCAAAGCTAAATGAAAATCGAAAATTGGTTTGCTTTCATAACGTTGAAACAACGCGTTGATTTCAAGTTGATTTTCCGTTAGTTTTGAAAGAATGAAGCGTCTGACGTTGGTTCAACGTTAATTCGATGAGCAAAACAATGTCAGATCAACGTTGTTTCGATGTCATATTTCCACGTTGATTCAATGTCAGTTTGCTATCTGGGTATCTTGATAGACATAACGTGTATCACTACTCTTTGTTAAACAGATCTTATTTTTTGCGATTTTCCAAAAGTCTATGGGGAAAATGCATTGCTTTTCGACCGAGGGAACCCATGACCCGCTAGTTTCCGAGTTGTCCTACAAAGTGACGTCATCACTTCGGCACTCTATTATCGACGCATCCTCAAGAGCGCGAAGGGCGCGCGGCAAAAATGACGTCATTGCGGTGTGGACGGTCGTGCGCGTTGGGTGCGCAAAACCCCATATCACGGTGTGCACGGCACTTTTTATAACATCGCGTGCGGCGCCGCTTTCGAAGATGAATGACTTCGAGCCGAATCTGGCCGAACTGGTATGAGCATGTTCCAGCATGTTTATGATCCTTCTATACACAGAGACATTTGCATGTGCGACCATAAAATCTCATTTTGTGAACAGGAACCCATTTGCATTAAGCATCCAGTTTGCACTTGTCTAAAATAATTGGTTACATTTACAAATTAAGCCTACAATAGCAGAAGTAAGCCCTGTAGATGAAATTAAGGTTTAAACACTTTTCAATAAGGCTTCAGTTGTTTAACTAGTTTACATGCAGTGAAAGTATAGGCTACAATAAACATACTGCATTAACTCTTTTATGAATTAGCAATTAATAAACTACTAATAAACTGCAAACTACACTCACTGCTGATTCCTGGTTTAGAGGAGAATTACTCCGAGTCGCCCCCTGTCGTTTCACAGAAGAGCACAACGGCGAGCGCGTCAAGTAGGCTATAAACGCCGCGTCAAGTAACTTAGTATAAACGCCTCGCCTCTAAATGTCTAAACATTTGGAAGCCAATATAAAGTTTTTAAAACACAAGCAGACACAATAAAGTTTTAAAAACCACAAGCAGGTTATAACTGGTGTATTTTATCTTATAGATCAAAACGTGAAAATATTTAGAGGCTTTGTTCACCGCAGACCTTATTTCAGGTGATTTAGCAAAAACCCATACAAAAAAACCCATAGACTTTAGGACAAAGGGAACCGGAAGTGCTAAAATGCTAACTCACTTCCACACAAGTCTTGTACATGACCATTAAGCATATAGTTATATAGACATCTAAAGATGTGTTTTTCTTACGATCGGTTTCTCTATAAGGTAACTACCCAGACAGCAAACTGACATGGAATCAACGTGGAAACGACGTCTCTCATGACATTGAAACAACGTTGATTTGCTCATCGAATTAACGCTGAACCAACGTCAGACGCGGCATTCTTCAAAGCTAAATGAAATCGAAAATTGGTTTGCTTTCATAACGTTGAAACAACGCGTTGATTTCAAGTTGATTTTCCGTTAGTTTTGAAAGAATGACGCATCTGACGTTGGTTCAACGTTAATTCGATGAGCAAAATAATGTCAGATCAACGTTGTTTCGATGTCATATTTCCACGTTGATTCAATGTCAGTTTGCTATCTGGGTAGTCAGGCCCTTCAACCATGGTTTCGGTAATCCTGTCAGTCAGATCGTCCATGCAATGAGTAAGCGTGTAGGCTACGGGTCGGCCAGTCTGGTTCCGTCTGTTAAAATTAACTTTTGAAAATAACAATCGCGGTCCTGGACAGTGAGTGACCTTACACATTAATATAAAATCGGATTTTCTCCAGTCATTGTTAAAAAAAAAAAAAAACTTGCTAACTAGCCAGGAGAATAGTTCTGCCTCCACCTAAGCCCCGCCCACAAAAAACGTCACCATGTTTAACAACTGAATAGGGGTCTATTGTTCTCGGTGTGAACGGGCCTTTACTGTTTAGGTCATTCATTTGAATCTTTGTGTTTCTTTGCAGCTGGATGTCCTGGATAAACTCAGTCCAGAGCAGAAAGCTGAGCTGATCTTTCAGTTGATTGCAACTGCTAGTCTAAATTTTGATGCCATCGATAAGATCTTCCAAAGTTTCCTACAGCCGCTCACGAACATAACACTTATCAATGGCACTTCAGATGGATTGAGCAAGGTTAGATAAGAATTTACTGTATGACGATGATGAAGGAGTCCAGTGATGAAACATGAATGAAGAAGATGATGCTAATTCTTGTCACATCTGTTTGCAGAACCTCACAGACTTCCAGGTATATTTGAGACCACTGGGAAGATTCATCAGATCATGTGTGACCTTTGCTCAGAAAGTAAGTGTGTGTGCGATTTATAAAATAGTATAATAGGTCTATTTAGTTGTCAGTCCTTACATTTTTGAACATAGTTTGAACTTTTTTGCTATTGAATACTCCCAGAAGAATAATTCATAGACATTACATAAATGTGACAGATGAAAAGAAGGAATAGATGTTAAAAAAGGTGGCTTTAGAGTCAATATAATGTTTCTTTTTACTTCCATACCATTATACATAGCCTAATCCTATTAATTGCCTCTCTTAGTTTTTCTTGTGCCAGGAGCATCACATTTTTAAAATGCCTTTAACATAATTACCCTAAGCCTGTTTGACAGATTTTCTGTGTTTGTTCTCTTTCAGACAGATGAAAGCACTATCAGCAATGCAACAAATCTTGTGCTGAACTGGATCCTGAGCTTGGACACCAACCAAACCCCAATAAGTACTTTTAACATCAGCAACGTCACTGAATGGTTCCAGATTGTGGTTATTCCTGTGATGAAGAAATATCTGCAAACCAACCAGACTTTACCTAGCGATGTCGCAACAATATCCAACTTTGTTTTGTGAGTATAGCACTTCTGTCTGCGTCATAAAATTAGAGCACTCGGAAGAAACAGGAGGTAAAAATGTTAAATGATTGCAGATCATTTTTGACCTCCTTAAAGGATGCAAACAAAGCGCAGACTTTTTAATCAGTATTTTTGTCTTTTTTAGCAAATCTTATTCAAACGTGATAAATTCATTTCACAAGGAGAATTGTACAATAAATATATTCTCTGATAATAAGTCTATAGTTTCCCCCGTATCTCTAACAATTATTTAATATTTGGAAAACAAGACAAACATTTACTGGAAAACAAAACTAAATTACTATGTAAAGGAGTAGTTCACTTTTAAAAAAACTTTTGCTGATAATTTACTCACCCCCATGTCATCCAAGATGTCCATGTCATTCTTTCTTCAGTCGAAAAGAAATTAAGGTTTTTGATGAAAACATTCCAGGATTTTTCTCCATATAATGAACTTCAATGGGAACAAACGGTTCAAGGTCCAAAAGACAGTTTCACTGCAAACTGTTCAAAGGGCTTTAAACGATTCCAGACGATGAATAAGGGTCTTATCAAGTGGAACGATCGGTCATTTAAAAAAACAAACAAACAAAGTTTAAGTTTTATAAGCTCAAATGGTCGCCTTGCTCTGTTCTGTGATGCACGTTCGTGACTCTTCTATTCAAAATAGAAGAAAAATCTTTTTCCGAGTCATTTGGTTCATTCAACGAACAAAATGAACGAGTCGACTCGGGAAAAGATTTGTTCATTTTAATGAACGAGTTTGAATAGGAGAGTCACGAACGCGCATCACAGAACAGAGCAAGGCGAGCATTTGAGCTTATAAAACTTAAACTTTGTTTGTTTGTTTTTTTTAAATGAGTGATTGTTGCACTTGATAAGACCCTTAATCATCGTCTGAAATCGTTTAAAGCCCTTTGAACAGTTTGCAGTTTGCACTGAAACTGTCTTTTGGACCTTAAACCGTTTGGTTCCCATTGAAGTCCATTATATGGAGAAAATCCTGCAATGTTTTCAGCAAAACATTAATTTCTTTCCGACTGAAGAAAGAAAGACATGGACATCTTGGATGACATTGGGGTGAGTAAATTATCAGCAAAAGTTTTTTTTTAAAGTGTACTACTCCTTTAAGAAAATGATTGCAGTGTGTATAGGATTGCCACTAGTACGTGCACTACAATTAGAAACATTTGTTCCTCACAGCATATCTGATTTGTTTTAACTAATGCTGTGCTCTGTGATTTTTTCAGTGCTCCAGAACCCCAAACTGCAGATCCTATCGACATTTGTAAAGTCACCAGCATTAATAGTTCCTGTCAAGTGAGTCTTATGCATTGTTAACCACACCCTGATTAAGTCCAACAATGTCACAAATCTAAAGAATGTGAAAAATTAAACCACCGCACAATGATGTTTTGTTCGCATGTAGAAACAATGGAACACTACATGATGCAAATATCTCAAACTGATTTACACTTAAGCTATTTTCTGGTCATTTGCAGATATCGCAGACTGAAGAGAGTCTGGCGAAAGCGATTAATTGTGTTGCTCAATCAAATCTGAGCTTCACTGAGGAAAACCTGCGACTTCTGATCACTGAACTCTCCAGCCCACTGCAGACACAGATGGAGCAATCCGTAAGGATACAAATAAAAATGTGTGTGTGTGTGTTATATTCAAAGGACTGGCTTTTTTGACAAGACTTTTATTTTTGATTCAGACAACAAGCTCAGCTCAGAGCAACCTCACAGCCTTGTTTGCAGAACTTCCAGCTGAAAGCTTCGTATCTGGAAATCTTGTGGATGTGGAGTTCATGCGATTCTGGTTCCAAATCAAGATGAAGCCTCTCCTGCCCAAAATGTCAAGAGAATTCCTGTCATGCCTCGCCACCCGTAGCTTCAGCTGTCAGGCCTACAATGCGCTGTATGTTCTTCACATTCCGTTCAGCTGATATCTGAAAACTGTTCATTATCTTATCAATCACCAGACCATAAGTTAACACTCAAATCCTGCTTGAGATTGAATTCACCTTCTGGTTGTATGCGGATCCAGGAACCAAAATTGAAAATATCAATAAAAAACAACAAATAAAAATAAAAGGTAACACTTTACAATATGGGTGCACTAATATGCATCAATGTATAACTCATGAAGAACTAAACCATTAATTAATGATTACTGCATCAGCAACTAATAAAGAGTCTATATGATTAATAGATTAAGTAATACATGAATTGCTATTAATTCAATGTGTCATTGTGTATTAATTCCTCAATAACATATTTTATGAACTAATAGTGTAAATTAATGTGTTAATTACCACAATTAGTCAAAAAAACTTTAATTAATCATTAGCTAATGATTTGCAAAGGTATCATTATGTTATGACTTTACTTGTTGGGGCACATCATTATTAACTATTCATTTAGTAATTGTAGTAATTTGCACATGAATTTGCACTAACAATGAAGTAATTAATCATGTATTAATGCATATTAGTGTACCTGTCATATTATCTGGAAGTTGAAATACACGGCTTTGGCTCATTCTGGTAATTAACATATTAATTAACACTATTAGTCAAAAACAAAGAGTTATTATGGAATTAATCCACAATTACATATTAAATTAATAAAAATTCATGAATGAACTAATACATTAACATTACAGACTCTTAATTAGTTCCTAATGTGGTAATCATTATTGAATAGCTTAGATAATCATTAGTTACACATTAATTCAGTATTATCTGTGCATTAGTTAAGCATACTTATTAGTGCACCCGTACTGTAAAGTGTTACCTAATAAAATAGTGACAATAGTATTATTATTAACCTATTACAGACAAGGTACTGTTTGTTCTTTGCCTTTTAAAATATCTTGTTACTATTGTGGTGTGGCTAAAATTGATTCAGTTTGTGAACTGTGAGAGTCACAATTTCATTAATTTGCAAATTTGCCAACACTAGTACTCATGATAAACTGGTGATGTAAAACATACAAGGCATGGTTGTATCAATAGAAATTATTCTCAGGTCAGTGACTGGTAATTTCCATTGACATAATATTTTTTACTGTGGTACCTGGGACAGTAAATAGGATCTAGTGATGCCCCTGAGTCATGTGATTGTCAAAAATACTTTTGTAATCGCTATCCACTTACATACCTGTTTTATTTTTGCAGATTTGTGGAGCTAAATAATAATTCTGGACTGATGAGCAATACAATACAGAGATGGGTCCTCAACGACTTCATTGTTTCTTTCCTGTCGCAACGTCAAAACACAAGTAGATGTTATTTATCAATCAATTTAACAGACAATTAAGAGTATTGTCAGACTCTTCATCATTTCATTTAATACTTTACAGGACATATGAATGACCAGAAATGAACAAAGTATTTCATGTTGTCGTTTCAGGTGACGATTGCACGTTGCCATTCAACAACAGCTTGGACTTCATCCAGCGAAACTTTGGCAATTTCTTTCCGCTTGCACAGCTTCAAGTGATTTTAAAATTGAGCCGCAATTTTTCAGCTGTGAGTCAAAAGTTTTTGCTTTTAGTGATGGTTCGAGTAAAGACTGACTGAACACATATATAAAAGTTTTGTAAACGTTTCATTGAAGTTTGTGTCTCGTGTCATTTGCAGGTGGAAGTGCTTTCTGTTCTCACACCGATGCAACTGGATGAGCTGGTGTTTAGTCTTCCTGCTTCACCAGCAGACCGAACGAACATCCTCACAAAAGTCTTTGTCTTCCTTCTTCAAGCTCCTAACAGAGACAAACTAAACAACTTCATCCCCTCTCTCCAGACTCAGGCTAGAAAGGTGACACAATTTAGATGTAACCTGTGTTGAAGGATTACTGCCCGGAATGTACTGTGTAATTTACAGTGTAACTTTCTGTAATTATAGTAAGTACTTGCATGTAAGTATAAGGGTAAAGTTTGGGGAATAAAGGAGTAACATCCAGGAGAATTAAAAAAAATAAATATTTATACTGTAAGTATTATAGAACTAAATGGTACTTATTGTACTTACCCTGTAAATACATGGAACAAGGGGGTAACAAGCACCACTACATGAAACTAGAGTATATCTTTCCCCAATATTTAAGCAAAAGTTGCAATAGTTTTTGTTTTCAGTGCACTTTTGTTAAAAAGATTATAAATGCATAGATATGTACCCTGTATTTTTTAAAAAGCCAGTAATTTTACAGTATTTTCTTACTAAATTGCTCCCAAATGTAAGATTGTTATATCATAATAGTAGTATAAGCACTCTTGGTAACTCTTCCTTTAACAGTCCAGTTACCCATCACTGTAAAAAAAATATTGTTGGTTTAACTTAAAAAAGTAAGTAACCTGGTTGCCTTGAAATTTTAAGTTCATTGAACTGGAAAAAGTGAGTTAATACAATGAAGGAGGTTAATTTAATCATCAGAAACTCAAAATAATAAGTTATCTCAACTAAATAAATTATTTAAGTTGATTTGACAAAAGAAAAAATGTTGTGATTACTACACTATAAAAAATATTGTTGGTTTAACTTTAAAAAGTAAGTAACCTGGGTTGCCTTAAAATTTTAAGTTGATTGAACTGGGAAAAGTAAGTTAATACAATGAAGGTTGATTTGACAAAAGAAAATATGTTGTGATAACAAATCTTGAAAATATTTTTTTTTTTTACAGTGTAATTACTGGGTAATAAGTACTAACCCTGAACCTACCCCTAAACCTACCCCTGTTCCATGTACTTACCTTATATTAGCCAGTACTTTCTAGGTAATTACACTGTAAGTACACTGTAAGTACTGTACTGTAAAAGGAAGCGTTACCGCACTCTTTAGTTCTTTAATACTTAAAGTATAAATAATTGTTTAATTCTCCAGGTTGTTACCCCTTTATTCCCCAAACTTAAAATATTGTTCCCTTATACTTATATTGTAAGTACGTTATAGGTACACTATAATTACTGAAGGTTACGCTGTTAAATCGCTTTAATTACGCAGTAATTTCCAGGCTGTTATCTAATATTTCATTTAATAATAATGATAATAATAATTATTATGTATCACTTAAAAAAAACATTGCAATAATAATAATGATAATACATATTGTTTTAAAATGTTTTTAATAATATTGTTTAAAATATTTAAAACAAAATGATTATTACTATTATTGATGTTGTTGTTGTTTGTTTATGTGTCAACTTTATTATCCATTTTGTTCCTGCCCAACTATGTAATGTTTCCTCTTATGTTTCTTTTGCAGGCAAACTTCAGTTGTGAAAACTACAAAATCTTGTAAGTGGCTTTTAAAATGCAAAACAAATCGTGATCTGGATGTATTAGTATTGAATACGATTTTATTTTATTGAATGACTTTTCTCTGTGAATCAGCTTTGACCAGATCGATCAGACATTATCATCAGTCCCTTCTAACCAGTCTGAAGCCCTGCTGACGATCAGAGACACCGTGATGATGATTCCTCCCGATGGTGAGGCAGAACCGAACAATAACACTGGCTCCTCAATACGCTGATCACATCAGAATAACTGAGTGCAAAATTCTCCCCGAATTAAAGTGTGAATTGTGTTTTGTTTCCCTCCAGAGTGCATTGCGAGAGCGAGTCAAGTAAGTAACGATGAACAAAAAGATACATTTCATGTTTAGTAGATTGCGTCTGTTTTTACGTTTCAATGAAAAAACAGTTGTAATGCAACTTTTGTTCTCACTCTTGCAGTGCACAACAACTCCTGTAAATGGTAAGTGATTATATCCTACTTTATTTGAGATGTCAGTGATGTTTCTAAAACTTAAAGTCTTTGTTGTCTTGTCCTTTTCCAGAGTCTTCCCTCTGTGCAAGTGTCAACAGGTGAGCTTTCCTGTCTGCACTCAAATGAGTTAAAGCACTGAGGACTCATTGGTCTGTAATACATGTTGCATGTTCTTCTGGTTTGCAGCTCTGCTTTGGATCAGTTCTTGAAAGGAGCGGCTCCAAATGCAACAGGCCCACTGATTCTTTGCAACTTCACTGTGTTGCAGTTTGCCTGTCTACCAACGGTAATATTACAAAACATTTAGTTTTTTTAGTCATTGATTTAGCTTTAATAAAAGCTCATTTGTGTCTTCAGTTGTCACAGTTAAACTCTCAACAAGTGGCCGACGTGTTGGCTTGCAAACAGCCCAGCAATGTGGGAAAAGAGACCTGGAAGCTTTTCTTCACCAAAACCGGCACAAACCTTGATGATGCACTGCTAAAGTTTTCCAACATGGTAAGAAGCCTATGTTTTAATATCACACTTCTGAACAAATTCTTGGGGCCAGGAAGTGTTTATAATGTTTTGGATTTGGAATGAAGTCTCTTATGCTCACCATTATTCTCATCATTAACGTTACTCGTCTTCCTACAGAAATCATGATTTTATGTTTTAGTAAACATTTCTTATTATTATTATTGTTGAAAACAGATGTGCTGCTTATTTTTTTTGTGTGTGGAAACTGTGATTAATTAGCATTAAATTGACAGAAATATTTTGTAAAATCATAATGTATTTACTGTCACTTTTGTATGGAAGCTTGTTTCTGCCACAGAAAGAAAAATAAAAAAAGGTAATTGCGACTTTTTATCTCGCTATTCTGACTTTATTTCCCAGAATTGCGTGTTATAAAGTCAGAATTGCATGATATAAAGTCTCTATTGCATGTTGTAAAGTCCGAATTGTGATATATAAACTATTCTGAGGGGAAAAAGTCAGTCTTTTTTTCCTCAAAATTGGCCTGATAACTCGCAATTGCGAGTTTATATCTCACAATTGTGAGAAAAGATGTCAGAATCTCGAGATATAACGCCACAATTATGCGTTATAAAGTCAGAATTGTGAGATGTAAACTTGCAATTGTAAAAAAAAAAGTCAGAATTGTGAGATAAAAAGTCTCAATTCTGTCTCAATTCAGTGACGGAAACAAGCTTCCATAGTTTTGTCTTTGCTGAATAAAAGTAAAAAATCTATAAATAAATCTTGCTGCCGCCAGGACTTTTGAAATGTAGTGTGAATATAAAATACTAAAATAAAGTTGCCAAAAAAAAAAAGTCAAATAAAAGTCTGAATTAATTTTAAACAAGATAAAAAGAAGTCTTACCAACCCTTGCTTTTAATGTAATTTATAAAATATGTTTATTTTCCAGACTCTGAGTCCCAGCAATGTGTCTTGGTCTGATGTTCTGGATGTGCTTGTTGAAGTCCGGCTCGATCGCTTTAGTCCTCAGAGACTGAGAGATCCTGTCTTCATTCGATCATGGTTTCAGGGGCGACTAAAGCCCTTCTTACCATCAGTGTCTCATAGAGTCCTGTCCTGTCTCAGCAGCAAAAACCTCGACTGTGAAAGTTACCGCACAATGTAAGTTGGTCATAGTTACATTGTCTAAAGGGTCAATGTCATTTTCAGACACTAGGATAAAAAATTAAATACGGTGTTAATTATCTTTCAGCACTGAGGCTTTTGTGAATGCTCCTCTACGAGATGGACAAGACGTTTGCTTTCCACTGCAACCTAATGCCACTCAAAGACAGGATCTGGTCTACAAAGAGTTCATGAAAGCTTTCCTCTCTCGCAATGACACTGAAGGTTGGTTTGGAGTATTTTAACCCTCTTTCAATTCATGATGTCATTTGTGCAATTAATGTGTCATGCCCCATTTAAAAACATCAATTGCCAATGCCAAATACCACCACTCACACCAGACAACTGGGTTCACATTAAACTAATGTAAGGAATCACAATGAAAATGTTCCCGTGGCTCTTTCAGATCCCAGGTGCCTTAGAAATTCCACCAACAGTACGCAGTGGATCAACAGAAACTTTGGACCGTTCGTTCAGTCAGCTCCCCTAACGGACCTTGCGGAACTGAACAGAAACTTCACAGCGGTGAGTGTTAAATGTAGCAATTTATGCAAAATATCTTATGGTAAAAAAACAACAAACATTGTGACAGTGAATTTGTTCGTCAATTTAGGGGGATGTTCTACCTCTTTTGAGTCTAAGACAACTAGTTGAGTATTCAGTCACACCTGGTGCGTTTAAGGATCCTCCAAGTGTTATCACTGTCATGCAGCTTGTTAAGGATTGCCAGCTCTCTGCTTTCTTCGACGACTTTTCCCAGAAAGTGAAGGTGTGAAAACAATGTTCATGATGTTTAAACCTAAAAAAAAAAATACAGAGTAACTATGCTAATGGTGCAATAATATTATTGTCTCCTGTCCAGGACGTCCAACTCACACAAGATGTAAATGCAGCGCTGATAAAACAGATATTTGACAGAGCCAACCTGTCTAATATAAATGTCACTAATCAGGAAGTTCTAGTCTGGTTCCAGAATAGACTAAAACCTCTGTTAGCCAACCTTTCAGAAAGCGTTGTGTCTCCGCTTTTTACCATCCTCAGCACAAGAGACTGCAATATCACTCAATCCGTGTAAGAACAAAGACATTTTTTGGATCTGTACATTGCATTTATGTGAGTATTGTAACATGTTGAGAGAAGACATTAATACACTGTTTGTTTTCAATTTACAGACTGGGGCTGTTAAACTCTTCAATACCCACAAATACCAAAAATGCGATTTACAACAGCATTCTTCAGTCCTTCAGAGGTATTTCTTCATTAACCGTCACATAAAAGTCATTGAAATAAATTCCTTCATCACGGTGTGATGATACAACTCAAAAAACAAACAAAAAAAATAATAAACTTAAAAATACATTTATATTCAGTATAAGTATCTTGTTTTATTCACTTAAAGGGTAACTAAACCCCTGGTCAGAGCCTGACTCCACCCACTGGCAATATTTGAAAAATGCTGAAAAAGTGGGCAGACCCCAGCGGAGATAGAGGGGACGAAATAGATGCTAAGGCCACGTTTACACAAAGCCGGGTATTTAGCAAAACGAACATTTTCCCCCTCTCCGTTTTCAAAATAACATCGTTTACACCTTAGATATCTATATAAAGGCTAGATATGTCGTCCACGCTGCTGGCCAATGGAGGTCGACGTCTGCACCTGGCGGCCATCTTGTCACAGGCAGCTCGCTCACTCGTAACATTGTGTTTTAATGGTACATGTACTATTTAAATGACCATAACTTGCTCAATTTTCTACCGATTTTCAAACGGTTTGTTTTATTATAAACGTCAGATATGTAGTTATGACACTGCATACTTATGAATAAAAAGTGTATAAATAAATAATAATCCAGATAAATATAGCCACGTTAATAACGTTTGTAAGAAACCAAACCGTTTGTAAATCCGTCAAGATTTCAACGAGATAAGAGTATTTGTGTTCGTGCTGATCGCTCATCTTACATCAGCTTGCCTGTGACAAGATGGCCGCCGGTGATGACGATGGAAACTCCGCCGTAACACATCTAGCCTTTATATACATATCTATGGTTTACACACCCTCATAAATACGCTGTCGAGCGCCATCATAACTATGCCAAACCTATTGGCGGCAGTGTAGGGGTTTAAGGATAAAGCCATTCAAGCCAATCAGAATCCTCAGAAACGACAAGAGAGAACCTAAAACGCCATTTCTCCCAGTTCACACGACAACACATAACCGGCATTTTCAGAAATCTCTACTTTGGCCAGAGTTTTTAGAAATAATCGTTTTCAGTGATAAAAACGGTGTTTTCGTGTAAATGAGAGGCGTTTTCGTGTAAATTTCGTGTTTTCCCATCGTGTAAACGGGACCTAAATCACTCTATCCTGGTCGTTTTCAATACTCGCAATTCCAACTCCTGACTCGCTACAGTGGTTTAGACGAAAACGAGCTGGTTTTTATACTGCCTAGGGCGTAGCTCGCGTGGAAACCTGCGTACGTCACGAAGTGCGGAACATCCAATAGGAAAATTCAACTGCAGTAGCCACCGTTCAACCTAAAGAGGGCAGCACTAAGACGTTTTTACCAAGCGTGCCGCACAAGCCCTCAAAAGTGAAGCCAAAACGTCTTGATCGCCCCCCTGTGACCGGACCTAGTATAGCTCATAACCCCCGCCTCCCCATGTTATTCAGTGGGACGCGAGACCAACTAAACAATTAAATTACACTTCACATATCCTTTATCCAAAGATAGTTTCTGTCATTTACTGTAGTTTCTATCACGTTGATGTAATTTCAAGTGTTCGTTTTTTTGGTTCTCTGTGCGAGGTAGTCACTGAAGCACCAACAGACTTTTTTTAATAATGTTGCTTATGTGGTTAGTTGTATTTAGCTTATTTTAACGAGGTTCTGCAATCAGCAGACATCATTGGAGAAGAACGAAGCAGACAGAGGACACTTAATGAAAGTGCGGGGCGTGTGCTTGCGTTTGATTCAGCGAGAATGAGGGCGCGGCCTTGATTTCGCGGCTTTACTTCCTGCTCACGACTGCGCATGACTGGTCCCGAAACACGCAAGTGCGCAGACTCAAGTTCCAAGATTTTAGCGTCATATCGAGACACTGGCGGCTTCGGTTCTCTCTGATGGAAAAGAGTGAAGGGGCGTCGTCCATCTTTTTTTACAGTCTACACCACATTGTAGAAATAAAACACTTTATACACAAATGTCAAAAAAGTTACTCGAATCAATGACTGGTATTAATAAAGATCCATTCTTACAGATCATTGTCTAGATACTCTTTAACATTGGGTAAGATCCAACATTTTATGTTTTTTGTTTTCTTTGCAGGGCCACAGCCTCTGAGGTGCTACAGAAACAACAGCTTTATCGCATTCCTGAACGAAAGCCTGTTCGGCTTTGGGCCACTTCCAAATCTGACCACATTCCTCGCTCTGATACCACAATCTCGGAAATATGAGGTACGCTCCACATCAACTCTACAGTTCTGCTGCTCAACGATGTAACTGTAACTGGTGTATTATTCATGTTTTCAGCTCGTAAACTCTGTGTCTCCTTCTGAGTTGGGAACCTACCTCAGACAGCTGGAAGTGGTGAACAATGATTCACAAATCTGTGTCATCTTTAACAACTTTGTCAGAACCCCTGAGTTCTTGGAGACCGTGAGTTTTGCTTTATTTGCACATAGTACAATGCAGTGTTGTAGTCGAGACCACCTCACTCGAGTCCGAGTCGACACCGAGACCAGAGAGAGTCGAGTCCGAGTCAAGACCGAGTCCATAGAGAGTCGAGTCCGAGCCGAGTCCGAGACCAGAGACGGTCGAGTCCGAGTCGAGACCGAGACCAGTGAGGGTTGATTACCTAATTTACTTTTATTTACTTAGAGAAATCCTTTTTTTTTTTACTGAATTTACTTAGAGTTTAAAAAATATGATCAGTTTAGGGTAAAAAGGCCACATAGTTTTTTTTAAAAGTAATTTTATTACAATTTGTCATGCGCAGTTGCGCACTAGAAAATCACCAATCACTGGGCGTGTCAATCAATTTAAAGAAATATTTTATTAACATACATTAATAATCATGAAAAATATTTTGAATTGAACTGGAGTGGACTCGGGAATAAGTCCGAGTCCTAAAAAAAAAATGTTCGAGTACGAGTCAATTCCGAGTCCAAATGCACACGAGTCCATGACAAGACCAAGATCATTAGTAACCAAACTCCATCGCACACCTGCAGGTGATAGGTGCGTCAGATAATAAGACCAGCTAGTCATTCAAGCAGATAAGGAACTCCCGCACACTATCATTACTTGCACTTTTTAATCAAGTTTATTCACACACAACGTTTCGGTCACACGACCTTCGTCAGGAGTATACAAAATGTTCTAAAACATCTCTTTTTAAATGTGTACATGACCACTCCACAGAACTCCATCTGTAAACAATTAAGCTCATTAGGAGTACATAATTAGCCCCACATCACAGACAACTACACATTGTAATAGATAACAAAATTAGTTAAAGTCACCCCGTAGACAAAAAAAAAAAAAAAAAAAAAAACACATAATTATCCAACAATATCAAGTTGTACTTCCAAACAATTGTAACAGTCGGGCTCCTTAGCCACTAAAACTCATAACAAATACATATATATAATAAAAAAAAAAAAAAAAAAAAAAAAAAAAAAAAAAGAAAATTCACTATAACATTACATTAAACAATGCTTCGTCATTCATACCCTTAGGTGATAAAGTTTGAAGAGTGTAGATCCAGAACAACTCACGTCTCTGTAGAAGTAATTCTATGTCGCCCCCTCTAGGTGGCAAAGTCACTTTCTCAATCCCACAAAACCGCAAAGAAGTAACATCGTGATTCAAAGTCACAAAATGTGCCGCAACTGGATAGTTCATATCTTTTCTTCTGATCGAACTTTTATGTTCGCTAATTCTTTGTTTCAATTGTCGTGACGTTTTCCCCACATAGCCGATACCACACGGACAACGAATCAAATAAACCACATGAGTGGAAACACAAGTGATCACAGATTTAATGCTATACTTTCTGCCAGTTCTAGGGTGACAGAAAAATGATGTTTTGAAAGTATTGTTACACTGGGCGCAATTACCACAACGATAGTTGCCCTTCTGTATAGGGCTTAGTAGGCTCTGAGATGTACGAGGACCAACTTATTGTTGGATAATTATGTGGTTTTGTTTTTTTTTTGTCTACGGGGTGACTTTAACTAATTTTGTTATCTATTACAATGTGTAGTTGTCTGTGATGTGGGGCTAATTATGTACTCCTAATGAGCTTAATTGTTTACAGATGGAGTTCTGTGGAGTGGTCATGTACACATTTAAAAAGAGATGTTTTAGAACATTTTGTATACTCCTGACGAAGGTCGTGTGACCGAAACGTTGTGTGTGAAGACCAAGATCATTAAAATATGGTCTCGAGACCGAGTCCAAGACGAGTCCGAGTCTCGAGTACTACAACACTGGTACAATGTACAGATTCTATGTAGGGACACTTACATATAAAAATATTTCAGTTCGTCAATGTAATTGCTTTCTTTGTGTTTGCAGGAAGACGTTCCAGATAATGTGAAAAGCACCATCTTTCCCTGTGTCTGGCCTCTGGCACTGACAAGTGACAATCAGACGGAGATTGATTTTTGGTTTAACCGTAGATTGAGGCTCTACTTGAAGTTCCTGAACAAAGATACACTAGGGTCAAAAGAGACACTGAATGCATCTTGCCTGTCATACAGGAAAATGTTAGTGCAAATGCCTACAGTCAAATTTGCTTGCTCGGAAGTTTAAGTGCAAAGTTTTGAGGTGCTTTCTCTGTTCTTCTAGGGTCAATGTTTTAGGCAACAATTTCACCTTTAATGGTTCTCAGATTTCCAGTGCAGATGTGTACACCACCATTAAGACCTATCTGAAAGCAGGTGAATTAGGCTTTAATAACATTTTCAGTTTTAATAATATTTAACAATACAACTTTTTTTAAAAAAATAACAAAATGTTCATTTCCTTATATATATATTACATTTACAGACACTGACACTGCTCCAAAATGCTACAAACAATCTGACGCAACACTTAACTCAACGGCGTGGTTTGTAAACCACATTGGTGTATTTATAAATTTTCTGAGTCTGGACGATCTCTACTCTTTCGGTTCTGAGAGCACGGTATGAACTATATCCACTTGTTCACATACAGTAGATAGACCATCAATACCTGATTTATCATCAGACCATGTTTTCGACCATCCTATCGCTCTACAACTGTGTGCCCAGTTGGAAATAGTAAGGAAATACCGTATTAGGTAGGACCATATAAGGAAATTCTGGCGCATCTGACGTCATACGTGCCCATACACTAAAAAAACTTTTTGAAACTTGAAATACTCAATGAAACAACCTATTTTTTTAAACTTTGTCCATGTTTAGCATGGGAATCCAACTCTTTAACAGAGTAAAAAAATGCCCCCCCAAATACATATTGCTTATTCCTCTCCCGTTTTGTTGTTTGCAGATAAAAACCTTCACTGTGAACCCTGAAAATATAAAACTGTTCAATCTAAAGACACTTCCAAAGAACGTGCTCAACCGCTACACTGAACTCGTCTTTCTGCAAAACCCCAGCTTTAGTTTGTTTGAGTAAGTTTTAACTGAGACCCATCAAAATCTCAGAACTTTCTCCGAGTTCAGTTGTCAAAACATTAACTATGTTTTCTCTGCTCTAGATTGCCTTCAGTTTTGCAGTGCGATGCCCCAGTATCAACCTTTACAGCACTTAACGAGAGTCAAACTAATACAATTCTTTCAAACTTTAAGTTATCTTGCTTCAATGTTGATCCTGCAGTAAGTATTCCTTTAAAACATAAAGTCAAGTCATTTCTTCATGTAACTGTGTTGTAACTGGCTGATATTCCTTCAGATATCTACAGCCCTTGCGGGAAACTTTAAAATCATAGATGCTAATGCTATTAGCAACTTGGGAAATGAAGTCGTTGGCTTAACAACTGTACAATTGAACTTAGCACCTCCGTCGGTTCTTCTCAGTGGGCTCTCAACACTGAGCAGTGTGTCTGGATGGAGCTTTGGACAAGCCCAGGCAATCATAAAAGTGCTTCTCAGTGGATCATTCAAGGTAATATTTAAGCCTCCAATTGAACAAACTTCCCTTAAAGGGCCACTCCACCCATTTGCATTAAGCTTTCCATTGTTAGAAACACAGTTATACTATTGAATGGTCATGCAACACTCTCTCATTTTCCCCTGAGACGAGAGAAATCTGCTATTTACCTTTTTCACTTCCTCCTACAATGACGGAAAAACCATTTTAAGTGTAAGTGTAAGAGGGGGGATTTCTGTAAAGACTACAAGCGCTAGATCCCACCCATTCAAACCCGCCTACAGGGGGTTGGGCCTAATGCGCTAACAGACCAATCACAGACCAATGTGATTTCACCGGCAGAAAGGTCTTGAAAATATGGACGAAGCTGAATACGCAGACGGATGAATTATGGAGGATTGGGATTACACATAGTGTTAGCTATCTTTTTTGGAAGCTAAGCTAGCAGGCTCTTGTTCTGTGGAAAAAGGCACTAGTAACTTTAGGGGTTACCGTCCTCTTTTTCAACTTTTCAACTTCAACTTTTGCTTTCTGCAGTCGCCATTCATTGTTTACATCCACAGCTTTTGTTTCAATCTAACTGAATTCATTCTGATTGGTGAATCTGAATGTAGTGTTTATATGAACGCTAAACAAGTGATCGGTTGATGTGCGTTTCAACATTGCTAAGAAAATTCCCGCTCTTCCGTGAGAGATACGAGACTGGTGCGTCTCACAGATGTCGCTCATCGGTACTCACGCCACCGTCCTCGTGCCGTTCTCCCACGGCCCTCACTCGTCCGGCTCGCCACAGTAAACATGATGAATGACGACTGTAGAACGCAAAAGCCGAATCCCAAACATTTGGGCGATCTCGAAACACATTTTTGGGCAGACTCATCACGGAGACTCACTAGTAGCCTAGACTTGTTGTTTAACTACTGCACTCTGTTACCGGTGGTCGTGGCCTCCTAGGGCAGCGAAGCGAGTGCATTCTGGGAGTTGTTGTCTTTCATCCACATAAGCCAAAAATACATTTTCTGTCTTTTCTCAGTCTAGAAAGCTCCAAATTCAAAAATAATTTCACGTTTCTTCTACATAAATGACCCGTTTTAAATACACATTCATCTTTCCAGAGGTGGAGTGACGCTTTAAAAGTTGTTGAAATTACCTCTTCAGCAGAACCTCAAAATCCAACAAACGAAATGACTTTTTGTACTTTCTGCAGTTTGAAAGTTCCAGCAGCTTGCTGAGTATTGGATCCCTGATTGGAGGGATCCCTTCAAAACAACTGACATTTATTCGGCCGCAAGAAATCCTTACAACATTGAAAAACAAAGAATTTGTGAAAAACATACTAATTGCCCCAGATATTGTTCAGAGAACCTTTGTGACCCAGGTATGTGAACAACATTCATACATATTTAGAGACATTTCAAGTGCAAACCATATAAAGTTGGGACTTTATGTCTTTTCTATCTTTAGATACTCAAAGTGGGTTCGTCAGTAGATCAACTAATGGCAAACATTCCCGATGATATGGCTGTTCAGATTCCAAGAATCTTTGTGACTATTCGCTCCACTTTAGATCAAACAATTGTGAAAAATTTTAACACTAAAAAATGGAAACCTGAACAGGTACAAACATAAAAACATCCATTATATAGTATAGTTTTTACATGTATAATATTTTTCTGCTAATGGCGTATTTTTATTTACAGGCAGTTCTGTTCTTTGATACTGTTGTGGATGCTTTTGATCAACCTGATGAGTAAGGATCTTTGCAAACTTTTTTTAACTGGTTTATGCAAAAATACTTTATGAGTATGCATTAAAACTAACAATGGCAAATGCATGACTGTTTTCTACAGCCTGTCAGTGGACGTTTTGCAAGGATTTACATGCTCCCGTGTACAAAAATACTCCAAAGTTAAAATCAGAGGCCTGATCAAAGCCTGCCGACGGAGAGCAAACAGAGCTAAGGTGGTACTGAGCGAGACTCAGGTAAGAGCTGACAAAAACGCTATTCAAAAATGTGTTCAATGTCAAAACGTGAACAAATTAACATGATTTGTTGCTAATTGTTTTCCTAGCTGACTTGCATGTACAACCAAATTAGAACTGAATCAATTGTGGATTTTACCAACTACCCTCCTGATATGTTGCTGTACTATGAGTAAGGTCCATCTGTAATTTTGTTTTTGCTCAGAAATCTTTCAATCAAGTATTCTGTTAAAGTTGTGTGTTGTCCTGCTCAGTTATAGAGCAATCAACAAAAGCTTCTGCAAGGCATATTTTGCTGAGGTCGGAGCAGCAGATCTCTCAATCTTTTCAAGTACACTGAGTGGAAGAAGGGACATCTTGTGGAGTAATGCTTTAGATTGCTTGGTAAGTATCATCCAATGATCAGACTGATCTCATGAAATGTCGTACGTACGACACGCCAATTCGTATTTCCATTTTTGGCGTGCTATCAACACCCATAATCGCTTTTCAGCATGTTTATGAACGCCGTTGACTTAACGTTACATTACTGTATATATAAATATATGTGACCTACCCCAACCCCGTCCCTAAACCTAGCCGTCACTGGGGTTAATAGCATTTATGAGTCTTCCCCTACCAATCTACATGTTGCTTTCTTTCGCTCGAACATATAACGGTGTGTACATACACGTGGACATTTAACGGCGTAGTCATACACGCATACTCACGGATAGCTCAAAATGAGTATACTGTAGATAACACGCCACTTGACTTGAAAGTGCCGTGTATGTTTACACAAAAGTCATGATGCCCATGTTGCTGTGATATTGATTATTTAAGGCCCAGACACACCAAACTGACATCAGAGAACTAGCAATGACGAAACCTGACAGGTGTCGTGTGCATCTAGGCCAAAATGTTGTGCTTGAACACACTACAGACTAGCATGTTGAGAGGAAATAACTCTCCATACCAGCAGATGGCAGTAGTCAAATTCAAAATTCTCAATCCGAATAAAACGCAGTGCTAAAATGGGCTTAAACGAAATGGCAGATTGTCGGCTTGGTGTGTCACGGCCTGTGTAGATATTATGATTTGATATTTTTATTGTACATATTATTTAATATAATATTTAGAGCTGTCAGTTAAACATGTTTTTAACGGCGTTAACGCAAACCCATTTTATCGCGATAATTATTTTTTTTATCGTGCGATTAACAGTCTTTTTGGCCTAGCAAACTTTGTAGTTTTTTTCACATGCTTTTGCAACAGGATTTCAATGGCTAAACCGCACACTGCAGTCAAATTTCAAAATAGTTCAATTTTTGCTGCTATGACGATTACCAGTGCGCCAAATAGAAACTTTTTGGCATCCAAAAAGTTTTAAAAATGTTTCAGACATTCCGCATCTTGTCTGAAAGCACCGGATCTAGCTAGACCGGAAATGGATGCCAATAAGATTCTGAATAGAAAGTGTACTTGTAAAAATTTGCCAAATTATAATTTTTTGACATTGTGAACTGAGCGATGGCCAAGCACACACACACACAGCTGATGCGAATTCTCCGCCCCTCGTCAATATCAGGACCTCGTCAGTATTTCTTTCACCCTTTTACTGATACATTGTGTGAGAGATTATTTGCTCCAAGTGAGAATGTTAGTGTGAAATTCAACACAGTATTGTCAATGTTGCTTTTCATTAAAAACATTTGCACAAAGCAAGCCGATCCACAATATTTCATGTTGCATTAAAATTAGAAAAAGTGATGCGACAAAAAAGAAATCAAGAGACATTTAGAATAGATAAAAAATGTGCGATTAATTGCGAGTTAACTATGCCATTAATGCGATTAATTATGATTAAATATTTTATTCGTTTGACTGCACTAATAAAATTGTGTATATTATTCAATTCAGGGCATTGCAGGAACAAGCATCCAGAAACAGGATTTGGCAGTGCTGGGCAACTTAGCATGTGCTGCGAACCCTGATTTCATTACAAACTCAGACCCAGAAATCCTTGAGAACTTGAAGAACTGCAATGATCTCTCAAGTGCGCAAATATCAGCAATGGAAGCTGTTCTTAATAAGGGAACTTCAAAATATGGGCAAGTTATCTTGATATTAAATGATTTGTTGTCAACTGATCGTCATTATGCAGAGAATATATTTTTCAGCCCTGATTCTGTTCATTAGTAAAAAAAATTCACTGGTTATGATTGTCTGGTTGTCTGATTATGACTGTATTATTTAGACCATCAACCAGTTGGAATCAGAAAACGCTCAGTGATCTGGGAATTCTGCCCTTGTACTTCTCACAAAGTTTTTGGGGATCATTCAGACTGGTACAGTACATATGAATATCATACACAGTTGAGCTCCACTGTAAAACTAAATTTGTTCAATAAAACAGAAAATACACAGTTTAGTCAAAATTTTACATGTAATTCAATGTCATTTCTTTGTAATTATTGGGGGATTTTACTTGCAATTTCAGAGTAAAAACTGTTTCAAAGTAAACTACACCAGATTTCAGTAAACACTGACTAAATATTTTAAATTTCCCTCTTGTTTTAAACAGAATGATTTGATCAAGTTCTTCAAAACCTTCTTTAAATTCGTGCGTGTACGAAACACACCAAAACCTCAAATGAAAAGACTGTTTCAAGCAATCATTCTACCTGTAAGAGCCAAGAGAGACGGTATGCCATCTTTATCTCAGATTTTTGTGCAATTAAACAATGTTGTCCTGAATACTGAATCTGATGGAAATGATATTCAGCACTACAAGACAACTGCGAGTGTGATATTGCTCGATAAACACATCCACATCCACCCTGTTTTTCAATGTGAAAGTGATCTATTTCCTGTAAATGTGCAAGATTTCAGATTTATAAGATGTAATCACACTGTAAAAAAAAATATTGTTGGTTTAACTTAAAAAATGAAGTAACTTGGTTGCGTTAAAATTTTAAGTTCATTGAACTGGAAAAAAGTGAGTTAATACAATGAAGGAGATAATAAGTTATCTGAACTACATAAATTATTTAAGTTGATTTGACAAAACAAAAAATGTTGTGATTACAAATCCTGAATTTTTTTTTTACAGTGTATGTAAACAACTAGTGCAGTAAACTATTTTCGCAACATAAATGATTTGTGATTGAAACCAGTTTATGATTGCAATATTTAGTTAAAGTAAAATTATAACAAACACCAGTTTGCATTAAAGGACTGTTTTTGATCGGATTCAAGTTTAAGTTACAAATGGCGCCCACTCTTATGTTTAAAAGAAGGTGATGGATAGAGTATGGACGCTTGTTTCTCTGACGGAATAAAAAATAAAAATGTAATTGTGACTTTTTACTTCTCAACAATGACTTTTTTCTCGCAATTGCAGGTTTGCATCTCACAGTTTGCGGGGAAAAAAAGTCAAAATAGTGACATAAAATAGCACAATTAACTTTTCCAATTGTTTATTCTGTGGTGGAAACAAGCTTCCATAATAGAGCAACATTTCCTAATTCATTTGTTGACTTGTGTTTCAAGTGGTTGGCTGTACCAAGGGCATCATCACTAGTACTATCATCAGCGATGACGCCTTCCCCTTTGGATATGATGAGTCGCAGTTCAAAAACTGTCTGAATGCAACTGTAGTGAGGGACAACCTCGCTAGCCTGTGTGAAAAAATTGAGATTAGCGCCTTCCAGAGAGTCATTCTGGACAAACTCAATGAGGTAAATATGTCATATATTAAGATCTGATCAAATCATCCAGGATATCCAGGACAGTTTTCAATGTAGATGTGTTGTTCTCTTCCATCAGATATCGCCAAGTGGCCTTTCAGAGGATCAGGTCCAGGTGCTGAAGTCAGTGTCCAGGAACGCAACATTGGATGAAATAAGCAAATGGAACATCACTGTAATTGACACACTGGCTGCACTTATGAATCCCAACGATGGCGAATGGTCCTCTGAACAGGTGCCAATTTTGACGTGAATTTTCAGAGGAATTTTTACAGCTGACAACTATTTGGTTTTGTGTTCAAATATGAATTTGTCTTTCAGAGCAAGCAAATCATTACCAAATATCTAAGCGCTAACAATGTCCTGAATACCACTGAGCTGAATGTAGTGAGAGGACCAAATCTCTGCTCTCTGAATGCCAACACACTGTCAAGAATATTGCCTGAAAGCATTGGGTAAAGACTTAAACCAGATGTAGTACTCTTAAAGGTTTATTATTGGTGCTTTATATACATACACACACATTTGCAATTTTTTTTTAAGTTTGGGGTCTGTAGCGTCTGTTTTTTTTTTAAATAAGTCTCTTTTGCTCACCATGGCAGCAATTACGTGATCACAATATAGCAATATAACAGCAATATTGTGAAATAGCATTACAATTCAAAAGTAACTGTTTTAATTTTTTTAAATGTATTTTATTCCTGTGATGCAAAGCTGAATTTTCAGCATCATTCACTCCAGTCTTCAGTGTCACATGATCGCATTGATTTGCTGCTCAAGAAACATTTATTATTATCATCAATGTTGATATCAGCTGATTAATATTTTTGTTGAAACCATTTTACATTTTTCAGGATAGGATTGTTTGGTGATTACAGATTGAAAAAAGGCATTTCTTCACAATAGAAATCTATTATAACATTAACAAAATGTCTTAAGTTTCACTTTAAATTAATTTAATGCATCCTTGCAGAACCCCAAACTTTTGAGTGATGATGTGTGTGAAAAAAAGAAGATATATACACACACACACACACATATATATATATTCCTGACAAAACATAGTTCTATTTCTGTATTGCATTAATCACACAATTTATCTGTATTATCCTCAATAACAGGCAGGCCGATGCTTTGAATGTGTCTAAATGTTCATCTGAGAACAAGAACGTCCTCTTCACCATCGCTAACAAAGCATTTCCCATAACAACTGTAAACCAGAGTGAAATTCTGTCAGTTTTCCAGATGGTTGAACCCTATCTTGGTAAGGGAGCAATTTCAATTGTCAATTTAATCCTACCGAATGCACCTTTTAAGACACTTTTAAAATACCAGCTCTGGTGTGCACACAGATTGACATACAATTAGTTCACTTTAAAGAAGTAGTTCACTTTAAAAAAAAAAAAAAAATGTTGCTGATAATTTACTCACCTTCATGTCATCCAAGATGTCCATGTCTTTCTTGGTTAAGGTAAGAAATTAAGGTTTTTGATGAAAACATTCCAGGATTTTTCTCCATTTAATGCGCTTATGGGAACCAAACGGTTCAAGGTCCAAAAGACACTTTCAGTGCAAACTGTTCAAAGGGCTTTAAACGATTCCAGATGACGAATAAGAGTGTTATCAAGTGAAATGTTCACTTAAACAAAGTTTAAGATTATAAGTTCAAATGGTCACCTTGCTCTGTTCTGTGATGTGCGTTTGTGACTCTCCCGTTCGAACTCATTCATCAAAATGAACGAATCTTTTTTCGTGTCATTTGGTTCATTCAACAAACGAAATGAACGAATTGACTCGGGAAAAGATTCGTTCATTTTGATGAAAGAGTTCGAATAGGAGAGTCACGAACACGTATCACACCCTAACCCTAACCACAACAGAGCAAGGCAAGCATTTCAGATTATAAAACTTAAACTTTATTATTATATTTTTTTTTTAAATGAGCGATTGTTTCAGTAGCACCTCAATGCAGAACATGAGATCCACGGGGAGGAGTCGGATCACGATCCAAGGGGTGGAGATGGGTAGGATTAGGGTTGGGTTTAAGGATTAGGGGTGGGTTTAGAGATCAGGGGGTGGAGTTGGTTAGGTTTAGGTGTATGTAAGGTGGGAGGAGTTGGATCTGGATCCGACTCCTCCCCGTGGATTTCATGTTCCGCAGTGAGCACCATCTCGATTGTTTCGCTTGATAAGACCCTTAATCATTGTCTGGAATCGTTTAAAGCCCTTTGAACAGTTTGTAGTTTGCACTGAAACTGTCTTTTGGACCTTGAACTGTTTGGTTCCCATTGAAGTTCATTATATGGAGAAAAATGCTGTAATGTTTTCATCAAAAACCTTAATTTCTTTTCGACTGAAGAAAGAAAGACATGGACATCTTGGATGACATGGGGGTGAGTGAATTGTCAGCAAAAGTTTTTTGAAAAGTGAACTACCCCTTTAAGCTTTTATTGTTTTTGTTTTTTTTATAGGTGGTGCAGATCTAGCTTACATTAAGAATCTGACAAAATATAATATCAACATGAGCCTGTCCACTTTCAGAAATCTGGATGCAAACGTGATCTCGGTGAGCAAAGAAAAGCATTTGGTGTTTTGTAATTTCTTCCTGTTTTCATCATGTATACACTCATGTATATGCCTCATCACAACGTCCACTGGTTTTATGTTATAGAGCCTCAGTGTGTCAGACGTCCAGGGTCTTCTTGGTACCAATTTGCAGGATCTGAAAACATTTGAAAATGACACGGTCGTGCAGTCCTGGATCTCACAACAGTTCCAGTCAGAGCTGGACAAACTGAATATCGGTCTGACTGGAGGAAAAGCAGACCCAACAACTGTTGCCCCGACTGTCACAGCTACCACTGTTAAAGTTACTGCAGGCGCTCCAGGTGAGGTGTCAAAAAATCATCTTGAACGCCGCCATCATTTACTCACCCTCATGTCCTTCCAAACATTAAGATGTTTTTATGAAATCTGAGAGATTTCTGTCTCTCCAAACAGAAATGTTTATACGTGAATAAAAGCCTAAATTATATCTGTTCATCATATAAAGTGACAGATATAAAGAAGGTTTAGGGTGATTAGACTTGCAGTGGAGCGACAGAAATCTCTCAGATCTTCATTCGTGCTCTGAAGATTAACATAAGTCTTATTTTTCTGGAATCACATGAGCGTGAGTAATTAAGGAGACAGAATTTCCCTTTTTCACTGAATAACCCGACAAGCCTATTAGAAATCATAACTTGTTGTTGTTGTTTTTCAAGGAATCGGACGCAGTGGATGGTCAGTTTCACTCAGCATACTTGTACTCATTTTTACCATCATTAAAGTGGAGATTATATACTGACCCCAAATCAGCCAACTATGAGACTCTCCAGTGGACTAAATATATCAATACAATCTAGTCTACTCAATCTGTTTAAAATCACACTTTTTTTTGGGTTTGTCATTAGTCTTATTCTATAATTCATCCTATTCATAATTGCCCTATTGTAATTGACATATATGGAAAGATTAATGTTTTACTAGGATATACAACCTTTTGATTGCAATACTTGTCAATAAAGCTTCTATATTTAATTGCTTCAGATATTTAGAATCGTTATATGAATGCCTTTTCTTTGCCTTAACGTCACAAAAAAATTGTTCTGATGCCTATTTATTTATGATAATGTAAAAAGTAATCATACTGAAATGAATAAATGGTACTCTATGATGAACAAAATTCCAGCTATCTGGTTTTATTTTTTCTTTGTGTTTTTTAAAGACGATTGTAAAAAAAAACTAATTAATTAGAATGTAGGTTGAAAGAAACAAATTAAAGAAACAAATTAATTAGACACATTGCACACACACACACACACACACACACACACACACACACACACACACACACACACACACACACACACACACACACACACACACATTGATAGCTGTTTATGAAGGTTCCAAAAAATTAAGTAAATAAGATAAATAAAATAAGATTGTCTATTGTCTAAAACATATATACATCATATTTACATGCAATGCAGGGATAAATTACCTCAATGTAGTGGTCGTTTGTCAATAAACAAAAGAAAATTAATCTTAAATCAAACTTTCAAATGGAAACTTCTAGCACCCAGGGCAGGAGATGTATGCAGGCAAGACATATCAATTTCCAGACTGGTTTCAGGGTTTGTGGCTGGTTTATTTTTTCAGCTGAGCAAACATACACTACAGCATCTCTAACGCTGGTTAAAAACCATATGCCCATGACCCAGGTGCAACAGGCCAGCTAGTTCCTACCAGAGCCCGTCTAACGGAGAGCCTTGGCACTTCCTATTAGCCCCATTGTGTATCATCCTGGTTGCAGTTTCATTAGAATTCCACTGGAGGTGTTTGCGGGCGAGAGCAGAATGAATGGGAGTCTATGGAGCTAAACGGCTAAAAGTGTCTCTTTCACCTGCTTGTCGTTAAATTAACATAGATTTTATTGTTGATTCCGCAAGTTCAATATAGATTATAGGCCAAAAGTCGAATGAACGAGTACTTATGTCCTTTTGATTTCTTACAGGTTAGGCCGTTGTTGGCCGGAACACGCTAGCATTCTGCTATTGTGTGACGTTATCACATTTCATTTCATTTCATTTATTTTTCTATTCTCTCTTTTCATGGTAATGCAACACGAAATACCACAAAAACAATTTAACAAATCAAACCAACACAAAGTACATTCCATGACAAAGAAAAGAACAGGAGTAGGATGAAGAAAAAAATCTTATAAGCTCCTACCCCATTCCTATAAACAAGATTCACAAATTAGATGACCTCACCAACATAAAATGACAAACAACAGAAAACTTAAAGAAAAAGAAAAAATATATATATATACACATGCACATACACATACGACAAGCCCAAACCAGATATAATCTACCTTCAATTATAACACATTTTTCTCTCTTTGTCTATTATTATTATAATTAATATTATTATTATTATCTATTAATACTAATTCTGCTTACATGATACTAGATAAACAAAAAAAACAACAAGGATAAAATAATGACAGATCCAACAGCCAAAATAGCAACGAAAGCATAATTATTGTAATAATTCTATTAGTTTTCACATTCTTCTTTATAGACTTTAAGTATCTTTTGTTTATAATTATTTTTAAATTGTAAGATATTTGAACAACATTTTAGATCATTTTCTAGAAGATTCCATCTTTTCACACCGGAGACTGAAACACACATTTGTTTGAGGGTATTGCCAGCAAAAGGTTGTTTGAAGTCATTATTTCTTCTGCTTGTCTCACTGTTTAAAGTGAAAAGGGTTTGCAGTCCACACGGTAACAGGCAGTGTTTAGCTTTGTGAACAACTAACAAAGTTTGTAAAGAAACCAAGTCCTTCAATTTAAGTAGCCCTGACTCCAGAAACAGTCCTGTAGTGTGTTCTCTGGGAGCAACTCCATGAATTATTCTCAAAGCCCTTTTTTGCAAAATAAACAAGGGCGCTAAATTTGTAAAATAAGAATTCCCCCAAATCTCCAAACAATACATTAAATATGGCAAAATAAAAGAACAATACAGAATTCTCATTGCCTTACAATTTAACATAAACTTTACTTTACTCATAACGGCAATGTTTCTACAAATTTTATTTCTTACATAAGCTATGTGTGACTTCCATTTAAGTTTTTCATCAATGAGTACTCCTAAAAACCTAAATTCTGACACTCTCTCAATAATTATTCCATTAAAACTCAGACTAACATTGTCAAAACATTTTTGATTTGTAAATAGCATAAATTTTGTTTTACTTAAATTTAATGACAGTCTATTTTTATTAAACCATTTCTGAAGTAGGACCAATTCTTGTTCAATAGTTTTCACTAATACGTTTAAGTTTTTCCCTGATGCAAAAAAATTTGTATCGTCTGCAAAAAGAACAAAACGTAAAATCTTTGATTCCTCACAGAGATCATTAATATATAAAGAAAATAACTTAGGCCCCAGCACAGAGCCTTGAGGGACTCCACATTGAATAAGTTCCAACTTAGATTCATGGCCTAAATACTCAACATATTGTTGTCTATTTTCTAAATAACTAATAATCCAATTTAATACTACACCTCTAATTCCATATGTCTGTAATTTAGATATCAATATACCATGATCAAGGGTGTCGAAGGCCTTTTTAAGATCAATAAAAACACCAATCGTATGATTTTTTTTCTCCAATTCTGTAGTAATATCTTCTGTGATTTTCATCAAAGCCATAGATGTTGAGCGGGTGCTTCGAAACCCAAACTGATTATCATGTATCAATGAATTTTTTTCAAGAAAACAATCAAATTTTTTAACAAAAAGCTTCTCAATAATTTTCGAAAATTGGGAAAGCAGCGATATAGGCCTATAATTTGTGAGACTATGCTTATCACCAGATTTAAATAAGGGAATAATTTTAGCCACCTTCATTTTTTCTGGAAAAAAACCTAAATTAAAAGACAAATTTATAATATATTTTAATGGTCTACTAATACAACTTATAGTTTCTTTGACGATATACATATCTAAGCCATCACTATCACATGAATATTTACTTTTTAATTTAGATACAGTAGAAATAATTTCATTCTCACCAACTTCATCAAGAAAGAGAGATTTAATGACTCTACTTTCACCTGTCCAGCTTTTATTTTCATTATGTAGTGGTATAGTTTTGGCAAGATTTGGACCGACATTACAAAAAAAAGAATTAAATTCATCAGCCATTTTTCCACCACTTATCTCCAGATTCTGTTCATTCGTTAAATATAATGGCTGACAACAATTTACTTCACTGCCCATGACCTCCCTTAAGACTTTCCACATTCTTTTGATATTACTTTTATTATCTATCAACAAGTTTGTATAATAATCTTTCTTTGCACGTCTCATTATAGAAGTTAGCTTATTTTTATAGGCTTTATATTTTTTTTCTGCATTAGCTGTCCGATATTTTACAAAATCCCGATAAAGCTTATTCTTCTTTTTACACGCTTTCGATATACCCTTCGTTAACCAAGGTTTTTTATTATTTCTTGCTCTATTATTCATTGTTTTTATAGGACAATTTTTGTTATATAACCATAGATACTTTTCAACAAATAATTCATAAGCCTTATTAACATTATTTGTACTATAAACATTATCCCATTGTTCTTTCATAAGAGCATCCTTAAATCTATTTAATCTTTCCTCCGTTCTTAACCTAATAACTTTACTAGACTTATCTTTATTTGTTTTTATTTCACAGAGGTAAGTTACAAATATCGGTAAATGATCAGTTGTGTCGTTTATCAAAAGACCACTTTTAACGTTTTTATCAATTATATTTAAAAAAATGTTGTCAATTAATGTGGCACAACTGGAAGTTATTCGGCTAGGCCTAGTAGCCTAGTAGCCAACATTTTTGAACGGATTTTTAGAACAGATAAGTGAACTTAAAAATGCAATTTTCAGCTGAGTGTATTATCTAAGTCCTCCCTTTAGAATGCAACTTTCAAATTACTTGACAAAAAATTACATCCGGAAAAAAGTGGATTTATGGGGGCGAAACCCCATTGACTCCCATTCATTCTGCACTCGACCGCGAGCGCCCCCGCATGGACGTGTTACTGCAGCCAGTCCAGAACCCGGAAGTAACCAGCCAGTGCCAATCTGTTCCTACCTGTGCACACTACTGCCCTCAGGTGTCCAAATCAAACATTGTAGTTCATAAACTTTAGTAAACTGAACTAACCATTGTAGTTATTAAACTAACTAGTTATTAAACTAACTAAATTGTCTTCGACTAGTCCTAGGCCTTGTCTGTGAATCCGGGGGAGAATGTGTAATGTAATTGACTAAGTTACGTACTCAAATTATTGTAATGTAATTTGGAAGCAGTAATATACCCAGCAATATAATACGTGATCAATGTTACTGTGCATAGATATCGTAATATCAATGTTTTTGTTACATTTTGAGATAACTTATTCTGAATATTCTGAGCCTTTATTTTGAAATAAAGTCGTCACGTCCGGTTCATTCGAAAGAAAAATAGCGCGCGGTTCATCATCACTAGCATCAACTATGATGGGAGCAAGCTTTCTCTGTGCAGACAAGTTTCGAAGTCCACCAGTGAAAGTGTTATCCAGTCAGTTGCGTGATGGGAAAGAGTGCCACACACCCAGCGGGAGGTCAGAGTATGTTATTAAACGACTGGGAGCGGGCGAGCAGAGCTCGTTACAGGTGTCAACGGTCTGGATGCAGGGGACAGTGGTGAAGGTGCAGTCGGACCAAAACACGGTGCTCATTCTGGACGAGACCGGAAACTTTCTCGTCAGCGGCATCAACAGCGTGCCGAGAGGAAAACCCTGCCTGAGTCCTGGTTAGTAACGTTAGTCGCTTTTCATATGTTTGTAAGACAGCTTCTACAAAACACTTCTACTGAGCCAGTGAAAAGACGAATATCAGAAAAAACTAAATAATAATATGATTTAACAACATGGCTTTACTGTCACGTTTGATCAATTTAACACATCCTTGCTGCAAGTATTAATTTCTTTCAAAAACTCTCTTCCAAAACGTTTGCATGATCGTGCATATTGTTACAAAATTATTTTTACTTTTTATTCATCAAAGAATCCTGAAACAAAGTATCACAGGCTATAGGCCATTTCACAAGATGTAAACAACACTGGCCCAGAAGCACTTCCTGTTTCAGTTTTTTAACACTAGGCCTACATAAAATCTGGAATAAAATAGAACCAACAGAACATTTAAAACTGAATCAAAAAAGTTAAACAAACATCTTTAAGATGTTTTCTTTACATGTGAAATAAAGAAAATGGCTACAAACTGAAACATGAAGTGCTTCTGGACCAGTGTTGTTTACATCTTGTGAAATGGTCTATATAAAAATAAACTGCAGCCAGCACAATTTCCAACATTGATAATGAATCAAAATGTATAAAAAATGATTTCTGAAGGATCATGTGATAGTATGTATACTAAGCAGTGATGCTAAGAATTCAGCTTTGCATCACAGAAACAAATTACATTTTAACAAAATAATTATAATATTGTAATGATATTTCACTATGTTACTGTTTTCTGCATTTTTGATCAATTAATTACAGGTTTAATACAGGCTTAATATTTTTTCCAAACTTTTGACTGGTATTGTATATATAAAGTGAATATACAAGATAAGGAGCTTTGCAATTTGTGTTCTTACACACTATTCTATGCCCCTTTTGTAGTTTGTTTTCACACAAAAAAATCCCAAAAGAAAAATTGCACTTCATTGGACACTTCATGTCACAGACTTCCTACAATCTAACAAAACAACGGTATACAAATCATACACTACACAAATGAGTTCAGTGCGCAGTGTATCTTGAGTCATTTCGACCACAACAAGGTGCGAAGTGACATGTCCTGTGTGACTCGTGAATTGGGTTATGTTAGTGAACACGTCACACAGAGAAGACCTTTTCACCATTAAGGTATTTTTATTTTTTGCATTATCTTTCCAATGAAAACCAAAAGGTTGTTTTTTCCACAGGTAAATACGTCATGGTTATGGGCGTCATCCAGTCTCACAATCCAGAGCCAGTCTTGCGTGCTGTGAAGATGGCAGATCTTTCTGAAAACGCATTGATTCACAGGAAAAACTGGATCTATGAAGTAGAAGATCTCCAGCAGATTTTGCCCTAAATCTTTTGTTTCACTAATGTATTTTCTTTGTTTGGCTCTGTGCTCTCGCAGTATTTGCTAAGCAAACTAAGCTAAAAAAATATACGTTACAAGACGCTTTAAGTGAGAAAGCAAAGACATTTCTTTATTTATTTATTTATTTATATACAAGTCACATGTGATATTTTTCTACATGTCAGTTCGATTAATGATGCACTGTAATTGTGCAGAAATCACATTACCTGTTACGGAGATTTCTTTGCAATTGTAACAGTCATACAATTGTAAAAAAGATACAATTAAATCAGTTTACAAAGAAAAGACTAGTATGTTAAAGTGTGCGTATATAAGTTTGAATACATGTCAGTGTTGGCGGCCCTGATACTGAAACGCCTCATGCTAAAGAACTGATTCACTGTCTGTAACCAATTTTCCTTTATAAATGCACAGTAGGTGTGTATCACGACCGCTTCAGAGTCTCCTGTGGGATCCTAAAACACTGCTGCAGTTCGGACAGTAGTGCGTCACATCCTTCAGGCTGTCTACACAGAAGGGAATCAGGCAGCAGCCGTAGATACATCTACAACACAAGAGACGCGAGACGGACCAATCAGAGGAATGTTCATGTGCTAAAGACCAAACCTGGATATCATGCAATGCTTTATCTTACCCAAAAATGGCCAGGCCCGCACAAGAGAGCCAGACCAATGCTCCTGATGTGTGCTCCAAACGGGTTATCACGGTCTGTTGGCATATTGGACAGTTTGCCTGCACTGGAACATCCCCAAAAAGCAGACCAGGCTGGACGTACACTGTCTGAACCGATACTAAAGGACAACAAGAAGAATGCTTAGAAATGCTGCGTATGTTTAGTACTATTCAAAGTGAAATATTTCTTACACATTAACAGTTTAAACATTGGGCTCATGAAAAAAATAGATTTACTGGGAACAGTGTGAGAGAATGAGAAACAAACACGTTAACATAGTCAGTAACGGGAAGGCTAGTGAAAAGAGGATGTGCTCCAAGGCAGGGCTGAATCCAATGCTAGCTTCACTTCCTCTTTACTAAGATACCTTCATCTGATTGATTTTTGAAGGTGTCCTTTGCTCCCTATGATATCCCACAATACTGCGCTTTACATTCTGTGACAGTTCAGCTAAAAATAAAGATCAGGGCCCGTATTCATAAAGAATCTTAATGCAAAGAGTCACTCCTAGTGACAATTCTACAAAAAATTCCTAGAAATGTGGGCGTTTACTCTTAAAAATAAAGAAAAAAAATTAGTAAAGAAAAAAGTAATTCAGAGAGTATCCTTTAAAAGAAGTCTTAAGGTGAAAATTGTTAGGAGTATGGACGGGGACTTTTAAGAGGCTTAAAGGGATAGTTCACTTTGAAATTAATGTTTGATATGTTTTAGCTTACCTCAAGGGCATCCAAGATGTAGGTGTCTTTGTTTCCACAGTATTTTCAATTTTGATATTTTTAGGTCAAACCGTTCTCGTCTGTCAGTCATATAATGGAGGTCTATGGTCACCACCTCAAAGAGCATGCACAAATTAAACATGATTTAATGACTCGTAAATGTAAGTACACATTGATGGCCTAAGACACGAAACGAGTGGTTTGTGTGAGAAAATGAACAGTATTTATATCGTTTTTACCTCGTGTAACCACAGACATGTCCAAGTACTCTGAGGCCGCGGGCGCATCGGAAAAAAAAAAAATTCGGTTGCGAAAAAAATTCAACGTTGTCTGTTGATATATCGAAATCGTCTTCCATTGCGGTTTCCTGTATATCTAAATATGTTTAGATCTTCACAGTCAAAGATAACGCTTCCGAAATCTCTGTGTATACAATGAGTGATGTACATGCGCGAGAGATCACTTCCGGCGCTTGCACAGACAGAAGCGTCCACCCCCTCAGATCACTTGGACGTGGCTGTGGTTACAAGAGGTAAAAACGATATAAATACTGTTCGTTTTCTCACACAAACCGCTCGTTTCGTGTCTTAGGCCATCAATGTGTACTTACATTTATGAGTCATTAAATCATGTTTAATTTGGACTTCTCTGTGCATGCTCTTTGAGGTGGTGACCATAGACCTCCATTATATGACTGACAGACAAGAACGGTTTGACCTAAAAATATCAAAATTGAAAATACTGTGGAAACAAAGACACCTACATCTTGGATGCCCTTGAGGTAAGCTAAAACATATCAAAAATTAATTTCAAAGTGAACTATCCCTTTAAAACAAAGGTTAACTATCCCTTTAAGAGTTTCTTTAGCAGAGGAGAAAATGGCAGAAAGACAAAGAGGGAGAAGAAATGGATGACGGTGACTAACTAAGACACTATAGATTGACACCTGGCTCGAATGTTGGGCTAACTGGGCTAACAGTTAACACTGTTCCTCTGTTCAGTCGGGCTTTCTCGTCCTTCTTGGTTTTGATTCCATGTATGTTACATTCAAACCACCACTTAAATAGACATGTCAGCTATCAGTGCAGTTATAATAAAATAATAGTATATAATAGAATAATTTTTATCATTTTAAGCCAATCAAATACCTTTTAGGATTATACAGCATGATAAATAAATAAAAAAATATTTATAAACACATAATGTGTGTGTGTGAGAGAGAGAGAAAGGTAAAACAGGAAAAATTTTGCATGTAATTTCAAAGTGAAGGCTTAGAATAGACCCTATAGTTAAAATGACTCTTCCCTCCCCCCTTCTTGGCCAACCAACAGTCTTCAAAAGATTGTGTCATACATAGCAACGGGGTCAGCTCCGCCTCCTCACTAAGATGAGAGTTTCTGTCTTTTCCTTACTCAGAGTTTTTCTCAGATCGGTCCCGAATCGCTCGTATGCTAAGACTCCTACGTAAAAGTTTTTAAGCTAAATTAAGAGTTTTCTTTATGAATACAGGCCCAGGGCTTGGTGATTTTCTTGCATGATCTCATCTATAGCATCTTATTAACTCACATTTCTTCATCTCTCTCTACCATTTTCTCCTCTGCTAAAGAAACTCTTAAGCCTCTTAAAAGCCCTCGTCTGTACTCCTAACGATTTTCACCTTAAGACCTCTTTTAAGGGTTAAGATGCTTTCTGAATTACTTTTTTCCTCACTTTTTTTTTCTTTCATTTTAAGAGTAAATGCCCACATTTCTAAGAATTTTCTTACTAGGAGTCATTAGGAGCAACTCTTTGCATTAAGATTCTTAATGAATACGGGCCCTAAAAGTTGGTGGTCAGTTTGTGTGAACTTTTAATCGTGGAAACTTTTGACCGTAGTTATTAAATATTCACTTAGTTTTCACCAAAGCTCAATCTGTGTAGTTGTGGATCATTAAACTGTTACACTGCCACAGAAGTCAGTCCGAAATCAGTTTCTTTTGGTACTTTCGTGCGTAAACCAGGGTTCCCACGGGTCCTTGAAATCCTTGAAAGTTTGTGAATCTGAAAAATAAATTCAAGGCCCTGGAAAGTTTTTGAAAATAAACATATAGTCATGTCCTTGAAAGTGCTTGAATTTATTTTGTGCAAAACATTTTCTGGAAAAAAATAAATCCATATTATTCCCACATCCGCAAATGTGTTATTTCGCCAACAATTCGTGGCCTATGCATACTAGCTTTCTTCATTTATGTTAGTTACGCACATTTACAAATTACGTTGTGTTTCCTGCGTGAGGTACTTATGCTGCGTTCATGTGCTATGGTAATTATGGTAAATACCAAAAGCCGACGTGGAAAATGCACATGAACACCCCGTCATGTGGTATTTTCCACTGGTCAACTCGTAAAATATTTTGATGGACGAGTTGCCGAGATGAAATAACCTTTGACCATTTCAAAATGGCGGAGAACACCGCGAGAGTCGTGAATGGTAAAAAATATATATACAATTCATGATCTAGAAAATATACAGCATATTATTTACTTTTTGAGTTTTGATAAATCATTTTCTTGCTGTTGCAGATGACTTAAGCAATCTAAAATAGTTTTAGCTAAATAACAGGTCTGGATCTCCATCTTTTTACCACATTACGACAACAAAAGCACTTGAACGCAACACACTGGTAAATACCAGTTCACAAGTGGAAAATATCCTATTTTCCATAGCACGTGAACGCAGCATTTGTGTTGAATGTTGCCATGATGACGTTCACGCAGTATCCCAACGTTTGTTATTGGACACAACACATGTGTCCCACATTAAGTCCTTGAATTTGAGAGTTTTGGACCTGGAAAGTCCTTGAAAGGTCCTTGAGTTTGAAGCAAACCAAGGTGTGGGAACCCTGGGCTTTACTGATAAAGCAGCGATTGAGGCAACCAAGTCATTGCATAAGCTTTCGGATGCAGCCGATGTATGTGTGCTTTTAACTCTGTTTGTTAGGAAAATTTTTATTGAAAAATATATGTCCTATTGAAAAAACAAAGATTTTAAATCTTTAATTTAGAAAATTTTATTCAAATATATATATATATATATATAAATAAATATATAAATACATTTATGATAAATTTTTTATGAAAATATTTTACATTAAATATAATTTCTTAGATGCAAGATATTTTTTTATTTACATCATAAATATTTAAAAGAAATTGTCAACAACAACAACAAAAAAATATTGTGGGGTCAACAGGACAAGCACAAATCTCAGTTGATATTCCAGAAAGTAAGGTTAACATAACCTAAACTCTCAGTTGATTAACCCAAACCTTGCTTACTCAAGGGGGTATTGAGTATTGTTATGGTTGAATATGATTGGTTTGTGCGATAAATCCTAACTCGTTTTCCTGGGTGTTCCTGAATCTAAATGAACAAAATGATGTAATTAAATGGTAAGACTAATTAAAAAGTAAGTTAACAACACAGCCACTTGGATATAAAAATCAAACTTGAAATGGCCTGAAAACAGCAAAATCTGTCACGCCCACTGAAGCCTCATCAATAGGGCACACATTTGGCGAATACCTCTGAAGTAAACTGACCCTGGAACATAACCTGCTTTGGATCAAATAATCAAAATAAGAAAATAAGTTGCTTTGGCAAATTAAATGCCCTAAAAGTTACCTCAGGTTTTGCAACCATAAGTTGAGGTTATCGGCTTCTGAGTAAACTTCCCCAGATTCATTAACAGAGAAAATCCAGATACAACCAGCTTCTGTTTGTAGCTGGTCCAAGTCGGTTTATGTGGTTTATCAACAGCAGAAGTCAACCGAGATACATCCACTACTCTCAAAGGAGTAGTTAACTTTTAAAAAAACTTTTGCTGATAATTTACTCACCCCCATGTCATCCAAGATGTCCATGTCATTCTTTCTTCAGTCGAAAAGAAATGAAGGTTTTTTGAAAACATTCCAGGATTTTCTCCATATAATGGACTTCAATGGGAACCAAATGGTTCAAGGTCCAAAAGACAGTTTCAGTGCAGCTTCAAAGGGCTTTAAACGATTCCAGACGATGAATAAGGGTCTTATCAAGTGGAACGATCGCTCATTTAAAAAAAAAATAACAAAGTTTAAGTTTTATAAGCTCAAATTGTCGCCTTGCTCTGTTCTGTGTTTCGCGTTCGTGACTCTCCTGTTCAAACTCGTTCATCAAAATAAACGAATCTTTTCCTGAGTCAATTCGTTCATTTTGTTCGATGAATGAGCCAAATGACACAAAAAAAGATTTGTTCATTTTGATAAACGAGTTTGAATAGAAGAGTCACGAACACGAATCACAGAACAGAGCAAGGCGACCATTTGAGCTTATAAAACTCAAACTTTTTTTTTTTTTTTTTTTTTTAATGAGCGATCGTTTCACTTGATAAGACCCTTATTCATCGTCTGGAATCGTTTAAAGCCCTTTGGACAGTTTGCATTGAAATTGCCTTTTGGACCTTGAGCCGTTTGGTTCCCATTGAAGTCCATTATATAGAGAAAAGTCCTGGAATGTTTTCATCAAAAACCTTAATTTCTTTTCGACTGAAGAAAGAATGACATGGACATCTTGGATGACATGGGGGTGAATAAATTATCAGCAAAAGTTATTTTTTAAAGTGAACTACTCCTTTAAGACACTTATTCTTAGCTTCTGAGTGATGTATACAACCTGAGTTTAAAAATATGTGGTCAGATTAAATCTTGACGGAGAAAAAAAAGAGTGAAAGGCATTACCAACAGGGTTGGTGACAGGTTGACCTTGCTGGGGTGGTGTTGGATACATCTGGCTGTAGGCTTGTGGTGGATATGGAGGCACAGGTGCCTTCATGTCAGCTGGAGCATATGTCCCTGCTGGGTACGTTGGGTTTGATCCCAAAGCCTCATCATATGATGGAGGAGGTGGGTATCCCACAAGTGTTCCTGTCTCCAATGGGGGTGCGCTAGCCATCGCCTCGACTGCTGCTTCAAATTCAAATCAACAAAAGCTTTTTAGTAAATATGAGAACAGTGGTTAGCTATTGTAATGTCGGAGCATTCCATAATTCCTGACAGATCCGCGCAAGCTTCACTTTTTTGAGAATACATATGTAATCTAATAAACTAAAGCTACAAATAGCAATGAAGTTGTAAGAGTTGTAACATCAAAACGTTAAAGTGAAGATCTTTCAGAAGATTGAAACACTTACTTGAAATGAGTACACGTCTTGTTTCGTTTTCTTGTGAACAGACTGGTGAGCGATAAGGAAAACGTTTCCTGTTTGTTAGTTCTCTTACGTAGGCTATACTTACTGTATTTCCGCAATACGTGGGCTGAGCTCACTTCAAAATTAGACTAACACTGGAAAGTGTCGATTGTATGTGTTATGCGAAGTCAATATCTAAACATATAGTAGGTAAAGGCAACGTAGCAATTGAGGATTTTTATAAAAATTAGATGTTTCGACGTTCCCTCAAGTTCCGTATTTGGTCACATGAGTTCCAGGCAGCGCGTCCCTCTTGAGACTGTTTGATGTTAACCATCTGTGTTAACCACAGACTGTAAAAAAATGATCTCGGTTCAGTATAACTACATGATTTATTTGTGCTTGTATATCTGTACCTTTGGGAAAATATAGGAACTACTCTTGGTGAAATGCCTCGATAAGAATGATAGGCTATAGTTTTTGGTTTGGCTTTTTTTTTATAGTTTCCATTTCTATTTAGCCGGATACATATTTATTTGCATTTGCATTAATATATAAATGTATGAAGTGTCCAGTAGTATGTATATATATATATATATATATATATATATATATATTATATATATATATTATATATATATATATATATATATATATAATATATATACAGTATATATACATTTTTAATGAAGCAGCCTAAATAGTCCACTTTGGAAAATGTGTAAATGTCACGGTTTAACCCTCTCAAACGTGAAACTTACACGTTTGCGTTACACGCTCCATGAGATATCCGGATGTTTATTCGCCTCTGCCATAACGACCTATTGGTTTTCATTAAACCGAGAAAATGGAATTTTGTTTTATTTACGATCACTGAGAAATGTTCTATTATTTAAAATGCAAACCCCCCCCCCCCCCCCCAAGTTAACAGTTAACTTCTCCCAAGAGGGGAGGAGCATGCGCATAAGTGAATGAGGAGTGTTCCTCATTCACATGCGCATGCTCCTCCCCTCTTGCCTATGGCAAATCCCAAAGGACAGAATGTGTTACACACGCATAAACAGAACATTACTGTAGCTTTAGCTTCTGTACCTACTTTAATCTGTTACACTAGCATCAACGTTTCTGTCTAACTTTAGCCTATTGTAACCGATGTCACTTTTCATCTCGCGAGCTTATACGGCTTTTAATCAGCGTTTTTTTTTAAATAAAACATACACTGAAAATGGAGAATTAACATTGCAGTCATGTGATTTAGTCAGCTTGATTAACATTATTACAATATATTACTATTTAACACAGATGTTATTTGCTAATTACATAAGGCTATAAGCTCAATTCATTAGTATAAATATATATTTAGTATATAAATATATATTTATAAATATATATTTAGTATAACATTTTTAAGTATATATATTTGTATGGTCCTCGAATGTGTTCAAATATTTCACCAGTATCAGCCTTTTCACAATTTATCACTCTGCTTGTCTGTGTTTGCCCAACTTGCATTAAGTCAGTAGGTGGCGACAAGTGACTGTCTTTATGAGTGAACAATTTAACTTTAACTTAACAGATTAGTGCCAAAAAAAATAGATTATCTAACCTTAGAAAGAAACAAGTTGCTGAAACCAATCTTTAATGCTAATATATAAATTGCTCATTTTCGTCTGGACACAAAAAGATTGCACTGGTGTTTGATTGAAATTCATCTAGGCTATGCAAAATAATCCTTGAAAGATTTCTCATTAAGGGCATTCCTGTTAGGAATATGGATTGTGTATTGTCAACAATAAGCAGAAACATTCTGCATTTGCATCCAAGCGTGGATCATTCATTTCAACATTTATCCTCATTCTCATATTTAAGAATCTGTCATCTTTTATGCTACTGCCAGTGCCCACTGACATTTAAAGCTATTGTTATACCATTTTTATGACCTTTAAACACCCTAAAATGCACACATGTAGGTCTGAGAAATCCAAATTTTCTCGGGGGAGTATGCTTCCGAACCCCCCTAACTTCCTCACCGGATGCCAGTCTGCCGCTGCATATAGGCCTGCAATATGCATTATTCTCTGTATCGAATCATGCTATCTTATTCCCCACCCCAGCCCCTGATGTTTCGGGTTCAGCCCCTGATGTTTTTGAAACCTAGAAACGCCACTGTATATATATATATATATATATATATATATGTGTGTGTGTGTGTGTGTGTGTGTGTGTGTGTGTGTGTGTGTGTAAGTGTTTTTACATCCTTTCTTTGAATGACACAGAATTAAAAAAATGAAAACGTGCAATTAATTGAATGTAAGTAGCCAATACAATTTATGTTATGTAAATATTTTTAGTACAGTCAAATCGAACTAAGTTTTATATATATATATATAATATATATATATATATACAAACACTAAAACTTATGTATGCATATATATAAATTATTATGCATATATTATATACATAAATGTGTCTGTGTATATATGTACACACACACCACGTATGTATGTATGTATGTCTATATATATATATATATATATATATATATATATATATATATGAAGAGTTCAGATGCAAAAGCCTCTAAATGCCATTTGAAATTTTCTTCTTTAATGATGATTTTTATCAAGCTTGTATATTTAAGTTCAGTGATTTCACTTAAATGGCAATGATAATTACCTATTAATTGTTATTTAAGTGAAATTACTGAACTTAAATATACAAGTTTGATAAAAATCATCATTAAAGAAGAAAATTTCAACTGGCATTTAGAGGCTTTTGCATCTGAACTCTTCATATATAGACATACATACATAGTATTATATACACACACAATAACTTATGTTAGATGTGATTATCACGATTAATCGATTTTACAGCTCTATTTTATTTAATGCTTTATATTATAGTATCTCTATATGTTGCTGTTTTTTTTCCCTCTATTTTTATATATTTTCTCACAAATTTGGATTTCGAGAGATAGTGCACATTATGTGAAAATGACCCTCCTGCATTAGTACAACAAAACATGTGTATAGTGCATGTCTGTAGGTGGAAAGATGTAGAAAGATGCGGTGTTTCATGCTCACATAAAAAAATACATTAGTCAGTTCGTCTCTTTCCATTTGTCTATGAATGCAAAACGAGGATCGCCCCCATATGTCCTTATGAGCACCATCAGACACTGGCATTAACCCACTCAGACCCTGTGTCCATTACAATGGACATCACATGTCAGCCCCCTTTTTTAACTTCTGGAGCATTTCACAATGGACAAATATGGAATAAAAATGCAAAAATGGAGTCACTAGACCCTTCCAGAGCTGATATACTGAGATCCCACGCAACATTTATGCCATGATAAATATCTCAAAATCTCAGCTCTGGAAGGGTCTAGAGCCTCCATTTTTGCATTCAGATCTTAGACTCATGGCCCTCTATCAGAATCCAGAGTTTCAAGAAGATTGGAGAAAATTATTTTTTCGCACCAAAAAAAAAAAACAAAATGGGTACCACTGTCGTTTTTT